GTGTGTGTGTGTGTGTGTGTGTGTGTGTGTGTGTGTGTGTGTGTGTGTGTGTGTGTGTGTGTGTGTGTGTGTGTGTGTGTGTGTGTGTGTGTGTGTGTGTGTGTGTGTGTGCAAAGAGGTGGTGGAGAAGCAATGCCAAGCTAGCAACCTTGTCCTTCGCCGTGAGTTTTGGTCAGTACGGCCATAAGCACACGGGCACAGTTGAGGATGCAAATAATCTGTTAAGAAAGAGCAGCAAGGGTGTTGCAGGAGCGCCAGTTGAAATGAGGAGGATGGAAACAAAGAGTAATTCAGATCTGAGACCAAGTTCTTTTGGTTTGGAGCGCGAACACACACGCACACACGCACACACACATACACACATACACACATACATACCTTGTCGCGAGGTGAGCGATAAGAATCAATCTTGATGAGTTCAGTTTGAGCCTCTGCCAGGTCAGCTTCATGGTTGGTGACGGCAGCCGAGATTTCGAGGTGCTGGGAGACGGCAAAGAAGAAGGTGACCTTGTGACCATGGCGCACTGCATCCAGTGCATCGAGACGTGATGGCATAAAACTCACCTCGGGTTTGATGAAGGCTAGCATCTTCATGCGATCTGTCAGCGCCTAACGCAGCCCAAAAAAACGAGGGTGAGGAAACGGTTTGATTTTTGTAGCTCGGCAACGCCAGTCAACCTGTCCAACCTGATCTTGATGGACGTCATCCGAGTGTGGGGGTTGAAAGACGTATTGGTAAAGCTTGCTCATGATGTATTTTTCCATGCCTTCGTAACCGTATTCCAGGTCGGCGTCCGTGGCATCGCGCCACAGCTCATGATTGGCCAACTAGCAGGATGAAGGCAACGGGCGAGGGGGAGGCAAGGCAGGAGCACGGGTGAGGTGTGACATAAACATGGGGAGACAAGGTGAAGAGCGTGACGGTGCCGGCGGCTTGAGTTTCGGCGGGGCAAAAGAGCCGCGGCGTGTGAAAGGCAGGGTCGGATTTTTACGGACATCGTGGTTGATCTTGTCGAGAAAGTCGCGGATGGGCTGAACGGCTTCGTCTGGGTTGTGAACGGGTTGAGTGAAGCGGCCGATAAAGTCGCGAATGGGCTTGACGAGGGTACTGGCCGAGGGTTCGCGCATCTTAGCCAGAAAGGCCTGAGGTTTTGAATGCGGCAGGGCGAGTGAGAAGGAAGCGCCTGGCGCTTGAGATGGCGTGTATTCAGAGGCAAGCAAGGAGGAGGTCTGGCAGCGACGAGAGCAACGGAAGACTTATCAACCTGAAAATTGAAGCGTGGGGTGGAATTGTTATCAGGGAGCAGGGAGTTTTGGGCCGGGGTTGGGGGAGCAGCCTCGGGGGCAGGGAGGGTCGAGTTTGAGGTGGAGGATGGAGGTGAATCGTGGGAGGTGGTGAGCGGGGTGGAATCTTGGGGGGCAGCGAGGGAGGTGTCGCTGGCGGCGGCCTCATCTTCAGAAGGGGTGTTACTGCCATCCCGATAACCACCGAGGGAGTGCGGGCTGCGGCTCAGGGCACTGCGGGTGGAGGCGGTATCGCCATGGTGGGCATCGACGCTCTCGCGTTCATCGTTGAGGTCGTTGACGCGGGCGACGCGGTCTGAAAAGCCGGCCGTCGAGGCGGCACCGGAGGAGGCAGCCACGGGTTGGCGTGGTGTGCCGAGCAGATCACCAAATAGATCACTTGTGGCGGCTGTGGAGCTGGGAGTATTGGGGTTGGTTGGTTGATGAGGATTCAAGCCGGTCGAAGAGGCCGGCGAATGCGGGGCAGCGTGAGCCGGGTGAAACTGCTGCTGCTGCTGCTGGGAGGGATGTGATTGGGGGGCCGAGTCGGGGCGTGTGTTGATGTTGGCATTGTTGGCGTTGCTGGCGGGATCCAGGTTGACGTTGGCGGCAGCGGCAGCGGCTCGAGTGTTGGAGTTTGCGAGGGGATCAAAAAGGTCGTAGAGGGCGGCGTTGCTGTTGGTGTTGCTGTTGGCGTAGCTGTTGGAGTTGGAGTTGGAGTTGCCACCACCGTAGCCGGACAGGAGCGACGGGGATGACGGAGGTATGCCCGCCATCTTGTACGGGCTGAATTCGAGTTGGGGTGCCAGATCCAAGCCCGCCAGGCTAAGAACATGAGCGAAGCGCCCGCCGGGGTGAGTGAGGCGAAGGAGCACAGCCGAGAGGGGAGGAGGGGAGATTGAGCACACAGCACACCGCAGAGTAGAGACCTCAGCAGAGGGACAGGGACACATTGAGCACAAAAGCACAAAGCGCAGAACGCAGAGAAGCGGGGACAGAGGTGCAGGAGCACCGAGCACCGAGCACAGAGGGTACAGAAGCATAGAGCACAGAGGATAGAGCGTATAGACAGGGGCACAGCGCACAGAGGGTACAGAGCACCGAGCATACAGAGAGGCACGGCGCACCGAGGGCATACAGCGAGAGGGAGCACGGCACACCGAGGGCATACAGCAAAAGGAAGCACGGCGCACCGAGGGCGCACCGAGGGCACACAGAGAGAGGGAGCACGGCGCACCGAGGGCACAGCGAGGGCGCGCCGAGGGCACACCGCGAGGGCGCACCGCGAGGGGTTCAGGAGCACCGAGCACAGGGCTCACCGAGATCTGAGAAATGAGTGCAGAGATGGAGGTTGAGGTTGAGGCGAAAGCAGAGGGACGAGGCGAGTCTTGGGGTGTGTCCAGAGGTACAGAAGATTGGAGAGTCGACTTACGTTTGTGAGTAAGGCAAAATCAGAGATTTGTGCGTGGCGTTGAGACGTTTTAGAGAGTTTTTGTGGATATCAGAGACACTCAGAGAGGGGATAGAGACAAGATTCGGAGGACGAGCCAGAGGTGGAGACTGTGTCAGTGACCTTTTCCAGAGAAGCATGCTTCTCACACAGAGCTTCTGGTTATATTTTCGTGCAGAATGAGAGATTCGGTTGAAAATGGTTCATATATCAGAGAGACGCGACGTTCACTGACCTCCAACTGTCTGACAATTACAAGCTTGCTGTTGTACCTTTGATACCATATGTGCAAGCGAAATCAGTGAGATTCGCGCTTTTTTTTTACGAGCACTTCATCTGTTACATCCGATGTATACATTAAACGTCGTTCAAGTGTGACACTACAGTAACCTTATACACGATATACCACTCAACGTGTATACCAAAGTCTGACTCGATGTATAATTTTAAATGGGTTTCCTAGTTTAAAAGAAACAAGCAGCGGCGCCGGCGCTCAACGACACAACACACTGACACCGCCACCGCCGACGAGGAGGACGTTCAAGACGGCATCGGACCACCATCGTATCACCGTTTGCACCCGTATGCAGGTGAGAGGGGACATGCTGCCGCACACACACACACACACACACACACACACACACACACACACACACACACGCTCACGCACACGCACACTTAAAAATTAAAACATGCCCAGATGACTGAACTGCTGCTGCTCCTCCTCCTCCAACTGCTGCTGCTGCTGCTGCTTGGGGGTGACCTCCTTTGCTGTTTGCGTGTTGTGCTTGCTTGTTTTGCTTTACCGCTATGATCCACCCCCACCCCCTCTCCTATCGCCGGTTGACCTAGCTGGTGCCACCGCCATGCTCCCGCTTGTTCTCGTTGTTGGCCTGGATCGGACTGACCGATACCAGTGTGCCGCTCCCCTCCGTCCTGAAGCATTGGCACTGTCAAAGACGCCCTTTCCTCTCATCTATCACTCATCACTCGTCCACCTTTTGCTGCGCTAAACAAGAACTGGCAGCAATCTCACTGCGCTCTCTCCATCTCTCCCTCTCTCCCTTCTCCGCTCACTCTCTCGCTCACTCTCCCCCTCCCCCACCACCACCACCACCATTAGCCTGCTTTTACTCCCCCGATGAACCTTTCTTGCCCTCACCACGCTGAACAACCCTGCCATTCTGCTGTCACTTCAACACAGAGCATTGCTCGTTGTAGAGCCAAACTCGCTGGCAACTAGAGCCAATTTCTTCAAGTACTCCGCCTCACCCGCCATCCCCACGACCAACCAAGAATAACCCTAGTCTTGCGTTACACCTCCGCGTTGGTGCACAAGGATGGCATCGCTCGAGGCGTTGTGTCTACAGACCCTGGCCCGGGCCTGGTTGGCCCATCAACGCCAGATTGAACGCGACGGCCGACCTTGCTCCGCCTCTGACCGTCCCCACCAGAGTCACACTGAGGATATTGCTGCCCACCACGGCTACGCGGAACACACAGACGACAATGATGGCATCGAAGATGAGAATCTCGACAGCAAACGCCTGGAAGACCCCGACCATGACCCTGACCCGCTCTCCGTCTCCGTTAAAACTTGGCTCGAGGCTGGAGAACAGCCCAGCATCCTCCGCAGCTTTCACGACCACTGGCTGAAAATCAGCACTCCCGACTCGGCCACGGCCCGCGCTGGCCAAGCTCTTGATCAAATCGCCCTTGCCCCTGCCTGGCTCCAACCCACCCTCGCCATGTATGCCGAAGCCATCGAGGTAACCTTCGTTTTCCCTCCCATATCGCCTTGCTTGGAAATGACAAGCAGAACGCGGCTATTTTTCAACCTCGCCCTGCTTCTCCTGCTCGCGTCTCCGCTTTGGCCTCACGCACATCTGCCCCTCTCTGCTCCAACCAATTACACTCGCAGCGCGAAGAGCTCTATCTTGGAGGACGCATCAGCCGACCACCCTTTCCCACCTTTGTGCGCTCTCAAAACGACGACGGCTCAGCCCGCTGCCAACTTCATGGTGTACGTTCGTCACGTCACCCACCAAGCGCACTCGTGACCCTTTTCTGCTGTACACTCACCGCTGCCCCAACCACCCTGTCTCCTTTGACATCCTAGTTTCTCTGGCAATACGACCTCAGACCTCAAGATTTGGAATTGTTGGTGCAGCATCCCCTCTCCACCTTTATCTGGCGACCTTTGGACACGTGGAGCGAGCCCTTTGAATCGGGCGCCCTGGCTGCCATGCTGTACGACCAGACCACATCGATCCCACCCCGGGCCTCGCCCTTTGTTCTTCGTTTTCTGGACACCACTGTAAACCACACAGCAACCTCTCCCGAACCCGCCCACTCAATGAAGCCCCCTCCCAACTTGGTCGTTCCCATAGGCTGCTCCCCTCGCTTCGTGTCTGCGATATTCGTTGCTACAGCCAGAACCTGCTTTATTCCAATCTACTCCTCTCCCAGGCGTCCCCTTCCATCGAGCAGCTAACGCTCCATGGCCTTCGCTTTGTAAGCCGAGACCCCACGCCACCCCTTGACTCGCCACCCTTTCTGCGTTTTGCCCTTACTTGCCCATCATCATATGGTTTGCTTTGATCCTCGAGCGCCTCTCAGACCGTCGACTTTTTGCCTTCGCTGGTCAATTTAACATCCCTGGATGTGTCTGGCACCAAATTTGGCAACGAGCATGTATGTGGCCCTCTGCCAACACCGTTTTTCGAGCGTCTTCTGCTTTTATACAGCGCAAACTGACGGGGCATATTTTGCCTCGATCCCCTGACACCTATAGCTGAAACTGCTCACCCAAAGTCCGGTGGCCGCGACGCTACGAGAATTTTACGCCGCCGACACACCTCTATCTTTGCCCCTCAGCGCTTTATTTGGCAAGCTTACCAACCTTCGCAAGCTTTCACTGGCCGAAGTGGCCAGCCTCAAGTCTCACTTTGGCGTAAGTCCTCACGTACTCGAGACAACAAACAACAGCCTACTGCACTTTGTCATATGTCCTTGGGATCGCCTCCTTGTTTGACTGTTCCTCTGTCGCCTGCCCATTCTCGTAAGCCTCGTACTCATTGGCCCATTGTGTTCTCTTTAGTCCAATGAAGCTGTTCTACAGGACCTGGAGGCGTTGGCTCGTCACTGCCCAAAGGTGGAATTTGCTCCCTGTTCACCCCATCCCCAACCCCCTTCTTTATCCCTATCCCTCCCAGACCGTGCCATGAATTTGCCATCATCTTATTTCGGCCTGCTTCGACCCCACAGCTTGAATGGTTGGACCTGACCGGATTGCACGTGGACCTCGACGTTCTCACCGTACGTCGTGTCCGCATTTGCCGACACACACGCACGTGACCTCTTCGCCTTTGAACCCGGGATCGGTGAAATTTGCTCTTTCACCCTGACCTTTGCATCAACCGCACTCGCATCAACCGCAGTGGCTTGGACGGTACTGTCCTCACCTTCAGTACCTAGGGCTAGTTAATACGACCTTCGATGCACCAGATGTGCTGGCCAGATTCCCTACTACACGTCCCAACGATGGCGCAAATAGAACACCACCCTCCGATGACCCTTTTGGCAGTACTGATCTGCCGGATGAACGCCCAACTGAAGCTGATCTCGCACCCCTGCGCCCCATCATGGCCATCGCCAATGGTGAACTTGAACATATTGCGCGAGGCCTCATGGAGCTCTCGCCCCTGCTCGAGTCTGCCATCGGCTCCGTCTGCTCGGCTCTCTTCTCCACGTTGACGAGAAATCCACAGCCCATGCCCGTAGAGCTTTTCGAGCGTTGCATCACCCTGATTCGTTGGCGACGCCACATAGCTACCTCGCAACCCGAGCCCACGGCGGCCCCCGTCATCACAGGCTTGACCGCGGTCATGTTTGCTCTCCTTGATCGTCAAGTTTGTTCCGACATTCCCGTTCTGTTGCGCCACAAGGCTGTGACCGAACTATGCTTGTGTTTACAGCAACTGGTCTGCGCGACGAGCGTTGTCCGAAACATGTGTCTTGTTTTGGAACGCTTTGACCCATTCTCAGACCTCGCCCCTATCAGCGTCCCGCTCTTTGGCGCCCTCATGCGCTATCTTGGGCATGACCAACTGATGCAACTCGACGCCCGCACCCTACGCGCCATCGTGAGCCTCTTGGCCCACTACCTCGGCATTTTGCATCCTCCTCTGAAAGCAGCCATGCTTGACTACACCCCGGACTTTGGCAGCCGGGTTGGTCTGCCGTGACCTCGTTTGCTGGTGCTGTTGCATGATGCAAGACGCGTTTGGTGATGTGCTTCGTCCCTCACCAACCTCGCCTGTCTCGCCAATTCGCGTAGCTGCGCCATTTGCTCGAACTCCTCTGGAGTACCGGAGTGGATCAAGCCGAGAACCATGACATCAACTTCATCTTGGAAGCCATCTTCTCGCTGCTGTGGAACATCACGGATGAGTGTCCTATCAATTCGCGACGCGTGTTGAGCACAGATCTTTTCGACTATGCCTTTCGAATCAAGCTTCCGGTACGTCCTCATGGCTTGTGCCCGCCGCTACTGTCAATGGCGCCACCACTCATCCCTCACCCTGTTCTCTTCAACAGACCATTATTCAAGCCAAACAATACAACATCTTGCGTGCCATGATGGGCCTACTTGCCAATATGAGCGAGGTTCACACCTTGACGCACAAGTTGGTCCAGCACCCTGTCCTTTTGCGCAGCCTATTGATGCTGTTGCAGGATGAATATCGTCAGCGCCCGTCACCAGCAGCTGGACAGCACGACCCTCACGCTTATTCCTCGGTGCGTGTGCCTTCTTTTCAACTCCCAACCCCCAACAAACACACACACGCACTTTTTCCGTTTATTCTTTGTCGACACTATGAGCCAAAGAAAGCATGCTGGGATGCAGGTGCAGCAGTGTTAGACCCATGACAGCTGACCGCATCTGTATCGTTGCTGCTCGATCCTATGTTAGTCGGACCTCGAGTTGACCTACAACGTCGTGGGAATTTTGTGCAACATCATGTCAGTGTGCGACCATAAGGGGCTGCGTCTTACTCCGAACATCAAGAGTCGATACGACTCTATTCCGTTCCACGTGGTACGTTTCTCAACGCCCAGCCGACCTTCCCCTTGGCCTTGACCCGCAACCACTCTCACTGCGCCTTGCGTCCTCGCAACAACGATAGATTGCCGCAGTTGAATCGTGGCCCAAGGCCAATTTGGACCGCTGCTGGATCAACTACCGGACCTTGCGGCCGCTTCAGGAGCATCTGCGTTGTCGGCGCCACCACATTCAAGAACCTATCCTCATTTGGGCCACCTGGGCCATCTGGCAGCTTTGCCGAACCTTGCGTGCGTCCATCTTTATGCTCTGCTCCCTCCTTGACGGTCATCAAACGCCCATGCTTTTTATCAAGCACGACTGTCTGCGGCCTGATCCATGTTGTACGCTGGCTCACCACCGCCTGCTTTTGTTTTCTGTGCAGCGGATACCTTCATTCCCATGACAGTGCATGAGGGTGTTTTCTTCGATCTGCGAGCCGTCGCAAGTTTACCGACCGTGCCCGCCACCGTCACAAACTACTCCCGCCTGGCTTTGGATCTGTATGTTGACACGTATCCTGCATATTGTTTCAGTCAGCAGTCGCGACCGAGCTTCTAAAAGATGGACCGTATTTTAACCTGCACTGACCTCATTCTTGTTGCACACGCTTCAACCCACGTTGTGTAGATGTCGTGCAAAAGCACCGCGACTGGGCTTGCAAGACCTCATCCGCTTTTGGGACGACCAACCGCTACTGACATGAATTGGGCGCAAAGCGCCAAACGCCGCGCAACATCACTTTGACGTGACAGCCAAGCATCGCATGACTGATCATTCTTACTTGCCAAACAAACAAAACCACGCAAGAGGAATTTGTGCATAGCACTATGCTGCGGATGTAGCATTATCCCTTCTGGCTTGAGTCTCGGTCTGCTTCATTGATGCTGTGGAGTCGCACTGAATTTGTAATCCGCTTGAGAAGTTATTATCAAATGCAATCAGCACATTTATTTGTTCTGAATTGGTTGTTGGCCTGAGGTTGCGCGAGCCAAGTTCTTGTCGTAACCGCGCGGCGAAATACGACGAGAAAGGGCTTCGGCTTCATACATATTATTTGTACACTACAAGCACTCACGAACACCAAACATGTTTACACACTCGGCCCACTCGCACCCCAAATCAAAACTCTTCAACTACAAACCCAGAGATCGTGAGCACTGGCAACGGCGACCGCCAGGAATTTTGACATCATCCTACAAAATCGCGCAAATAGGCCGCACTTGACCACGAGGTCTCTCTGGCCAGAGCTCACGAAACAAGCACCGAGTCGCTCAAAAGACTTTATCGGGCTAAAAAGAAAAAAAAGAAAAAAACACATGGAAAGACATGACACTGCGAAACATCGCAACGATCGAACTGAAGACACGGCGCATCCGGCCCGCCAACTCAGGCGTTGGTGTCACCAGACGTTACATCAACGCCCTGCTTGATGGCCATACGAACCGCCGCGATGTCATCAAGCGAGAGCTGCAGGTTGAACAGTGCGTCGCCGGAATGAGTGAGCGGGCCATGCATCTAGAACAGAGCGATAGGAAATCATCCATGCATCACAAAAAGGCGCGTACACACCTGTTTAACGGCGAGGCGGATGGGCTCGGTGCCAAAACTGACAAATTTGGTCACAATTTCCTTTTGAGACAGACCATACACCGACTCGCCCATCATGCTCACAATCACATCGCCCACGACCAAACCGGCGGCCTCGGCTGCACCACCGGCATCCAACTGTGTAACAGCGACTGGGGCACTTCCTGCTCATGCATGAGTTTCACACATTCAGCATACATGAGCAAACAGTGCGAATTCCCGGTCATGAGGTCGGCATGGGTCGGCGCACTAATGATATCGAAGCCACCAGGAATGGTTAGGAAGAGCGGTCCGCACAGACATACCTTTGATCACAAAGCCAAACCCTGAAGGGCCCTTTTTGAGAGTGATTTGGCGCAAGTCGGTATGCAAATCCGGAGTCTAAGGCGATTCAATCAAAGAAGCAATTCAGGACACCATGGGACAGGGGTGAGCAGGCCACAAGGGCTGGCAGTTGGTAATTGGATGCAACCCACACACGCCTAAACACATACCTGCAGGGTCTTCATGGCTGCCTGTGCCTGGCGCTTGGCGACGGAAATCTCGTCCTCACCAGACGCAGCAGCGGCGCCCGTGGCTGGGACGTTGTCACCCCATACTTGACGTTGTCGCTCCACGGGAGCCCCTGGACTTGACAACGCCTGCTCAATGGCTTCTCCTCGCATGTAGCCATTGCTCTTCACGCCGCCGTGCAGCGCATTAGCCCCTTCGCTGCCCAGGAGATTTTTGCGCTGCTGCCGCTGCGCCTCGATGCGACGAATCTCCTCTAGCTCCCGCTGCTGCTGCATCGAAAGTTGGCCGGGTGGGGCGCCCGGTCCACCCTGTGGGGCTGGCGCACCACGACCGAGATGCCCGTACATGCCTTGCGGTGGTGGATGCATGGGTGGGCCTTGCCTCAGGTTGGGAAAGGATCCCGGTGGCGGTTGATAGTGATAACGACCACGGCCACCGTGAGGAGGGTACTGCGCACCGTACATCCCTGGTGGCGGTCCATAACCCGGACCGCCACCATACATCTGCTGCTGCTGTTGCAGATAGGCAGCGTAGTAGGGGTCGTAGCCAGCGGGCCCATACTGCCCATACCCGCCCGGTGGTGGTCCATAGCCTTGAGGGCCATAGCCCGGGGGCGGTGGGCCATAGCCCTGGTAAGGCGCCCCGCCCGGATAGCCACCAAGTCCGCGACCGCGAGCCATGCCAGGTGGGATAGCGCGTACTTGTGGCCCGACACCACGCCCAGCCATCATGTGTTGTGGATGGTGTGGTTGCTGCTGCTGTTGTTGTTGCGTGTACGGGGGTGGGCCTCCTTGCTGCTGTGGGAACCCATACTGTTGTTGCTGTGGATGTGGCTGTGGCTGTTGTTGCTGCCAAAAAGGAGATGCACAGGTGAGCGGCAGTAGCAGGGCTTATTCGAGCAGCGGCGCGAGTTTGCAGGCAGGGGGGGCAAAGCCGGGGTGTCACGTACTGGGCCGGGGTTCGCCCGGGGAAGGAGCGGGGGTGGTGTTTGGGCCGCGGCTTGTTCACGAATGATACGGTCATTCATGTATTCACCGTCATCCATATCTACAGCAGATGAATGGCAAGGCGGAAGTGAGACAAGTCTGTCGCGGGTGAACGCCGGCCCTACTCTTATGCGGGTAGCAGATAGCACACGTACTGAGTTTAGCTGCTGCTGCTGCGATGGCATCTTCATTGACATAGTTGCCATTGCTGCTGGGGCCCTCGTCGTCGTGGTCAGCATCCTGGGCAGGGGTAGACGCTGTCTCTGTGGGGGCGGGTGCTTGAGCACCATCCGCTTCAGAAGCGGCAAACCCAAAGCCATCATCACCATCGCCATCGGAAGCTGGGGCGGGCATGGGCGGGGCGCCGGTGTTGACTGCGTTCTTATCCGGTAACGCTTCTGCGGGCGGCTGGCCTGGAAGGTGTGGAAGGTCTTTGCCATGCGCGGAAGCGAGGGTACTCAGCTCCTGCTGATGGGCCTGCTGCTGATTCATGTTCTCACGTAGGATGCGATCGTTCATGTAATCATCATCGCCACGAGGTAAGATGCCCGCTGCGGCTTGAGCTGCCACGTCCTCGTTGACGTATTCATGCCCATCATCTTCAGGCTCAGCAGGGCAGCCAGCATTGATGGCACGAGCTGGGGGCTCGGGCATGGCTTCCTCTGCTTCGGAAGAGGGTGCGGGAGCCGCTTTCACAACAGGCTCGGTTGAAGCATCCGCGGCAGGTGAAGCATCCGCGGCAGGTGGAGCGTCCGCAACAGGTGGAGCGTCCGCGGTGGGCTGGTCGCCTGTGACAGGGTGGTCGCCCGTACCAGGCACGGGCGTGGGGACGGATGGCTCGGCAGGTTGGGCGGAGGTGGGCGGAGCGCGCGCGGCGGGATCAAAGGAGGGCTGTGTAAAGCGAGGAAAAATGGTTTCTTGTGCCGGATTGGCGTGCTGGCGTAGGCGGGAGCCGACGTTGACCGCAGGCAAACGCTCATCCGGGTTCAAACACCAGCACTGCTGTAAAACCTAGAGTCGCGGCCCAGAGAGGGCGAGATGAGCAAAGAGTGGTTTGCACGGGCCGGATCATTGCGTAGCTAAGCAGGCTTGCCAACCTCGTATGTGCCCGCAGGCATGCCCTCGAGCGGCGGTAGGTAGTGGCCCTGGCGCAACCATTCGAGCATTTTGTTCAAAGGCACGCTAGCCCAAGGCTTGACGCCAAAAGCAAAGATTTCTGGGTAGGAGTGTCGAGATGATGGCGGGTGCGAGCCATGAGCGATGGGCGTGAGCGTGGGCTGAAACGCGACAAAAGCGTTCGCATCATGGAGGCAAGGGCTCACCCCAGCAGGCGACGCCGAGGCTGTAGACATCGCTGTCGGGCATGGGACGGGAGCCTTCAAAGAGCTCCGGGGGCAGCCAGCGAAGGGGCTGGTTCGAGAGGGTAACATCATCATTGTGAAAGTCCTCGTAATCACTCTCGGAGACGGCCATGCCCACGCCAAAGAGACTGAGTTTGAGCTGAAATTGAGAGGTCACAAAGGCGCTACGAGCCCCAATGTCTTGAATCAGGACATCCCGGGTATGCAGGAAGGCGACGGCCTCGGCTAGCTGACAGCACAGGTTGAGTTGGTGCTGCAGTGAAAGCTGAGGCTCATCCTCGTCGTCGGCGATCCGCGAAGAGCGGAGCACGTGGAGCAGGGTGCCCTTGGAACAGGCCTCCATGAGGACAAAGGTTGGAGCTCTGCGGTTGGCAAGGAATGATTGGATACGAGAGCCCAGGCGTGGGCAAGGATGAGGGTGAGGGCTCAGAGAAAAGGCAGGCGCTTGGAGGATGCGTGGAGACTCTTATGAACAGACGTGGAAAAATGGGCGGCCACGAGCTGGAGGACGTTGGGGTGCTCCAGCTGGCGGAGGAGCAGGGCGGTCTTTTTAAAGCCGTCGGCCAGATCGGGAAGGAGAGAAATTTCCGAGCCAAACATGAGAACGGAGCGTGGAAAGGCACCACCGGCCAAGCCCCGAGCCTGCGAGGTAACGTGAGATTCACATGGGACCGGGGTGGGTTAGCTGCGGCGCTGGGCAGCGCGGCGGGCGGGCATAAGGTGCTCAAGGGAGAGGGGTGGGGTGCGCCAGGCAATGATACCTCGGCTTCAGAAACGGTACCAAAACGACCACAGCCAAGTTCGTTGGTGACGTTGACGGCAGATCGTTCAACGGAGAGGTCGCTGAACTCAGCAAGGTCTTCGGTGCCGGTTTCCATGGGAATGTAGCTGGCGTTGACGGCTTGTTGGAGCACGTTGGCACCGGTGTTCTTATTGGCGGATTTGGACGCCTTGGAGCCATCATCATCAAAGCTGCGGCCAGCGCAGACGGCACCAATCACAACCCCGGCGACGAGGACAGCCACGGCCCATACCATGACATTTTCAGAGTCTGAGGGCGCAGAGGCGTCAGCGGAAGTGGGAGCGTTGTCCGACTGAGGCTGGTAGGGTGGCGGAAGAGCGGTGGCGGAGGCCAGGAGCAGGCAGAAAAAGGGGAGCACCAGCCGCATCGCCATGATGGACCCAGCTGCTTGGGCACGTGTGCCGGCACAAGCTGCTTGGGCCATGATGGAGTCCTTGTTTTCCCCCTTGGAGAACGTGCTGGCCACAAAGGGGAAGCCAGGACCACACAGGCAGACCCCAGCGCAACCTAGAAGCGCGAGCAAAAGTCGCCAGGAGGTGGAAGGTATCATGAGCAAGCACACGCAAGCTGCAAGAAATACACGGACGCACAAATCAAGAGCTGGGACGACCAAATGCGTGAGTGTTTGTGTGGCTGTGCGCAGAGGGATTGCGAGCGAAGGCCGGAACGGGCAAGGGAAGAAGGAGGACAAGGTGCAGCCAAGGTGTTGTAGCCAGCTCAATCCAAGGATTCAAAGGCTCATGCCAAGCACCAAGCACCTCATTTGCTTGAATGCTAGCGCACACAGCATTGGAAGCAAGCGAGGCGAAGCGGGCGTTGACGGACGGAAGGAAGCGCGGGAGAAGCGGAAGGCGCGCTGCGGCCGGGGGGCGGTGCCTCGTGATTGTATGTGAAATAAGACCAGAGATGGGACGAATCAATGGATAAAAATCTGTATCATGGACCACCAGCAGACGCGCATGCTTCAATGCCTTGCAGTTCGTAAGTCGTTGAGCAGGGAGAACCGGGGAAGCAACGCATCGGGGGAGCACGACGGCGCTGCCATTTCGGTTTTTTTTTTTTTTTTTTTTTTTGAATGCACGCACTTGTTAAGATTCGAGGTTGCGTTCTCTAAAGTGAAGTATTCCAGCTGGCATATTTGAACAGGTGTTCTCAACACTTGTTCTCGCCGAGCAGGGGCGAGGAGGAGTCGAATGTCAGATTGTTTGGATTTTGCCGGACTCGGAAACGAAAACCAATTCGACTCCTTCACAGCCCAGGCCGCCACCGATGCCGCCGAGCCGAGCCTGCAACTACGTGGGCAAAACAGTTTTGTCCTGCGTGGTAAGCCGCAGTGATGGAGCCCAAGGGCAAGCAGCATGGCGTGGCTCTCTAGAAGAAGACCAAGTCAACCCTCCATCCATCCAACACCGCAACCCAAGTCACGACGACCGAGCACCGACAAAGCTGATTCTTGCCCAACACCCAACACCCAACGCCAAGCCACAACCAGGACGACGGAAATCGCTCGGCATTCGCAAGTCTGATACCAACTCGGCAGGCGCGTCGGCTAGCATGATGCCCGAGCAGCACAAGTAATGGCTGCGTTAGCAGTACACGGCGCCCAGTGGTGTGTAACTTTTTCAGACGACTACATTAAAAAGTTGTGCGTGAACGGTGTCCAACCCCACGATATCTGACCACACGACGAGCACATTCCACCCCTCAGCGCATATCCCACCCTGGACTGTTTCCCATCAAGCTTCGGTGCATTTTGGACGCCCCACCCCTACCCTACCTCTCGAGCCCCCAGGCTGATTATCGGCGAGCGACGGAAGCATGCATGACCGGGACCAAGCGTGGCGTCTACTCGAGCAGCACTCGATTTGAGGCCAGGGTCCCCTTGGTGCTGCCGCCAGTGCTCCAGTGCTCGTAGCCGTGATACATGACGAGTACACAAACACCGTGCATGCTGTGCTGAATCATGAAACAGGTAAGCTGCAGTCCACCTCAGATGACGACAAGGCAGTCATCTGTCCCCCCATGAGTACAATTAATGGGATTCTGCTTGATCCCACGACTCGCACAAAATCCAACCATGGTGACATGATATCTGTGTCTGTGTCTGTGTCTGTGTCTGTGTCTGTGTCTGTGTCTGTGTCGGTGTCGGTGTCGGTGTCTGTGTCAGTGTCTGCGTCTGTGCAAATTTCCTTTTATTCCCGATCCGGCAAGGTGGAGGTGCAGTCCGAGCTCCCTTTGACATGCGCGCGTGAGGTGCTGGCTGAGTGCGAGCGACGCGCCTGAAAAGAAAAGTCGCTCACAGTGTTCGCTTGCAGTCTCTACTTGTCAGACATTCGGTGCACAAAATACCGGTTAACGAAGCGATTTTAAGACTTTTCGTAGTTTTAAACAACATTAACTTGTATCTTTCCTTTAAACGGTTGACACTTTAAGTAGATACATTATAGCTTCTTGTAGGTCTTGACCAATAAAAGTCTGACAATTTGGGGAATCGGCGAAACACGGTTTTTCCTGCTTCAATCATACAGAAAGCAAAAGCAAACGGGAACCGCATCTTCACAGTCATTGCGTCATTCTCGCCTATTTTGGGCAGAGCGGGTCATTCAAGTGTATAGTCTGTTACACTTTTAAAATAAATAAATAATTCTCCCGTTTTTTGATTTATCAAACCCGTTACGATTGGCTTAATAAACAGACTCTGCACCAATAAATCCAAATCTACAATCAATTTGAACATGTTTATGCCACTAGATCTATACAGATTTGTATTTTCTCCGTTTATCGGGTTGCAGTCGTTGTTGCCTTGGCGCTGCACATTTTCCCTTGTTCATCACAACCGGACGACGACAGGCGGAAGAGGTTTGGCCAAATCGTCGTGCTCCCGCCAGCCGTTCCGGTGTTTAGCCTTGGCTGCTTGCGCGTTTTCCTCGCCTGTGAGGTGGTGGTCTGGTTGTTTTGGGTTTCTGTCTGCTGCTCTGTGGCGTGGTTTGTTCGAATCCCGTTGTGAGCGCTCAGCTGGTTGACACAGACAGGCGGTTGATCGTGCATTTGGCGGCCGCGTCGTTTTCAAGTTGTGGGTGGTGAGGAGTGCAGATCCCAGACAGGCAGAGCCAGAGTCGTGCGCCTGGAGATAAGGGAAACGCTCCGCACCCCCAGCCCACTGAGAGGGGGCTCGGCTCGTTGGCAACGCATCCTTGTTCCTTTTTCCGTTTCATCTCTTGGCGTGCCATGTTTGACGCACATCTTTGCCCGCCCGGTTCTGGCCTTGGCGTTTTTGTCCATGGCGTGCCTGCCAATGGGTTTCCATTCCATAGTCGTCTCCCTCCGTTTGAGCGTGTGTGTGTGTGTGTGTGTGTGTGTGTGTGTGTGTGTATGCCTCGCGGGAGGTTCTTTGAAAAGAAATCCAATAGCCATAGCATCCCTGCGCCCCCTGCTGCATCGTGTTTAGCAACAGCAGCAGCATTCACATTCGCCGCCATCAAGTCCCGCCCCCACCTCGTCCTGCCATGCCCCCTCTTGAGTGCCTCTCTGAACCAGCCATACACACCACGCGCGCGACACTCTGTGTCAGCCCCGAGAGAGCGTTTTCTCTTCTCTCTCTCTCTTTTTCTCTCTCTCTCCCTCTCTTGTCTTTTGGTTCTGTGGTTATGACATTTGGTAGCAGTATCACTGAGCTGCTACTTAGTGTTGGTCTGTGTGTGTGTGTGTGTCTCTCTCTCTCTCTCTCTCTCTCTCTCTCTGTTTCTTGTCGATTTTGTTTTGTTTTGTTTTTCTGGTCACTCCTCTGCCCTCTCTCTTCCTCTCCTCTCTCTTCCTCTCTCTCTGTTTTGTTGTTGCCTTCTGGACCTTTGATGCCTGGTCTGGGATTTGGATGCCTCCCCCACACCCCCGTCCGCTTGCCGCCATCGCTTCAAGCCAACTCATCTTTTTCTTTCCGGCTGGTTGTGCCCTTTTTTTTTTTATCGACTCGCGCGCTCGCTCATTAGATTCTTTTGGATCCCCTTCCCAACCAGTGGTGCCCCATTTTCTTGCCGTTTGCCCCTTTGGCCAGCTTCAAGGCCTTTTTGGGTCTCCTGCACACGCTCGAGACGTGTGGGGAGACGAGTTTGTTTGTTTGCCTTTTTTTTTTCGAGGGGTGACCGTTGAGGATGGATGCAGAAGGTCGTCTGCGTACCACCTCCTTTGTCGACCCGGCGCAACAGCATGCAGATAACGATTTCGATCCCTTGGCTGGTGCTCTCGACGGCATGAACGTCAGCGGTACGCCCAACCAATTGACCCTTTCCATGCCCCCGCGTCTTCGGTGTGACCGAACATGTGGCTGAGCAAGTCAGCAACTTGCCTCTGCTTTGTTTTCGGCAATTCACCCTTTTTCATCCTCAACGCCTCGTGTTTTATCACCCAGACCGTACCGATTTGCCCGAGGGGAGCTTGACCAAGGTCCGCGCAAGCATCGGCGCTCCCGAGGCGCAGCGTGAGGAAGACGTTCAGGTCAGTCCCGTTGCTCGTGGTCATCACAATTCTTGGTTGCATTCCCCAATCCGGGTTTTTTTCTTCTATTTCTATTTCTATTTTTTTTTTTTTTTTTTTTTCCCTTTTCGCCTCTCTCCCCGTGCTGCTCATGCCCTTTGGCATGGGCATGAATACATGACACATTCACGCCGTTCTTCTACTTCTTCTTATTCTTCTTCTTCTTTTTTCTTCCCCTTCATCGCTCTAGTATGGCCCACTATCCGTGATTGGCAACGGCTCGTTTGGCGTCGTCTTCAAAACCCAGCTGATCGACTCGAGCGGTCGCCACCAAGTCGCCCTCAAAAAGGTCCTTCAAGACCGTCGCTACAAGGTTTGCCACCCACGCCAGTTGCTCGCCTCAGCATTCCACCATCAGCACCAGCGCCTCTTGCCCCTCTCCCTCTCTCCCTCTCTCTCTCTCTCTCTCTCTCTCTCTCTCTCTCTCTCTCTCTCTCTCTCTCTCTCTCTCTCTCTCTCTCTCTCTCTCTCTCTCTCTCTCTCTCTCTCTCTCTTTCCCCCCGTCTGTCTGCCTCCCTCCCTTTCTCATTTTTTCCTTTCCCCGCGCCATGGGTTCTGCTCTGGTTGTAGAATCGTGAACTGGAAATTATGCGCCAGGTCGGCCACCGCAACATTGTCGACCTCAAATGGTTTTTCCTCTCCCCGGGACAAAAGCACGATGTCTACCTCAACCTGGTCATGGAGTTTCTCCCCACCTCTTTGAGCGCCTTCGCCGAGGGCTATGCCAAGCGCAAGATGCAAATGCCCGTTCTCTACATCAAACTTTCCATTTACCAGATGTACCGCGCCCTTGCCTACCTCCACGGCCGCGGCATCTGCCACCGAGACATCAAGCCTCAAAATCTCCTCCTTAACGTTTCCAAGGGCATCCTCAAGCTCTGCGATTTTGGTTGTGCCAAGATTCTTCAGTCGGACCAACCCAATGTCTCCTACATTTGCTCCCGTTACTATCGCGCGCCAGAGCTGTGTTTGGGCGCCGTCTTCTACTCCCATGCCATTGATGTCTGGTCGGGTGGCTGCGTCATGGCCGAGCTCTTGATGAACCGCCCCATCTTCCGTGGTAGCAAGTCTTCTGACCAGATGGAAAAGATTATGCGCGTCCTCGGTGCCCCCAAGGCTGATGAAATTCGCACCATGAACCCCGAGTTTCGTCGCGAGCTCCGCACCGCCTCCAGCCACTCCTTGGCCGAGGTATGCATCCCCACTTTTTATTTTGCTCCTACCCTTCTTCGTGACATTATCAAGCTCATGTACCGCGGTGGTGTACCGTTTCCGTGTCGTTCTCCTTGCCGTTGTGCCTCCAGCTGCTGCGCAGCCGGCCCGCTGAGGAGCGGGACTTGGAACTTGACTTTTTGCAGCAGGTGTTCCAGTACAAGCCTGGCAAGCGCCCCCACGCCATTGAGACCCTGGCCCACCCCTTCTTTGATGAACTCCGTGACCCGGCGGCTAAATTCAATGGTGCTGATCTCCCCGAGCTCTTTGACTTTACCCCTGAAGGTTTGTTGGCTCCATCGTGGTGAACCCTGCTCGTATCTTTTCTTGCTGAACAAGCGTCTGCCACCACAACTTGCCTCGGCATTTCAAATGTTTGACCCGCCGACGAATGCGTTTGATCTGATTCTTGATTTTATTTTTCTCGCAACTCGCGCAGAGCTGTCCAAGTCGCCCGGTATCGAGGCCAAGCTGCAACGTCGGTCGTGAGCAACGATCCGCACATACATCCTCAGCCCGAGTTTTTGAGCCGCACATTGCTGCCTTGGCTGCGGAATGTCATTGGCCTTTGATTCTCGCCATTCTCTCGACGATCTTGGTTTTTGGGAAGGCGTTGTTGGTCACGGTGCCCCAAAAAAATTCTTTTTGTGTATTGTGAACTTGTTCCGTTTTGCTTCCTCTCTTGACTTGAAGCTTCAGAAATGCCGTGTTCAATGTTGCTTAACTGCCTCTTTGTTCCCCTTGTTGTGTCGTAATCCCCCGTGCCTCTTTGTCTCACTCACAAGCGCTTGACGTTTTCTACGCAACCAGTCAAGCCGGAGGAGGAAGAGGAAGGTGTTTGCATGCGAATGCTTGTCAACGGCGCGTGCAAAACCTGTGTGCCGATGTGCGGTGCGTTCCGCGCACGAGCCAGTCTAGTCGAGATGACAAGCCCTTGCCCGGCACACCTGGATGCGCTGCATCTCAAGCCATGCTTGATTTGCCCGACTGGTGGTGGTGGTGGTGGTGGTGATCAAATTGATGGACTCGGTTCAAGTCGGGATCAATGCATGTCAAGGCTATGCCCATGGGCGAGCCTGCAGGCAGGGAATCACCACTTCAAGCCCCGTATGAAACTTTTAACATTAAAAAAAAAACGCATTCGGAAGGACTGAACTCGGTGACACAGAGACGCGCGTGCAGGCCTCTGGCTGAAGGTCACGTCGTTGCACTCGTTCGCTCCGTGTTCCTTCTGATCACACACTCTTGGTCCCCTTGGCAGTTGGGCGGGCGCCTCAAGGACGTTTGCCAACGTCGTTGCCCTGCAGCTCAAGTCCCCCCGTAGCACGACAAGCCAGCTCGTCTCGTCTCGTCTCTCTCTCTCTCTCTCTCTCTCTCTCTCTCTCTCTCTCTCTCTCTCTCTCTCTCTCTCTCTCTCTCTCTCTCTCTTGTTCTTCGGTCAAGATTCGCGAAAGGGCATTGCGTAACACGTGCCACACCATGAGCAGGACTTTACCACACGTGCTTGTCACCTTAAAAGGTGAATAATGTGAATAACTTCACACACGTGATGCAGTTGTACCACACGTTGACTTGTTTCGGCTCCGAAACCGTCAAACGACGATCATCTCACATCATTCTCACACACCCTGACTTGTGCGTCTCTCTGCCTGACTACAAACTAAAACTACATCTCTCTATTCAAACTCACTTTCTGCACCCTTTCTCTGGTTTTACCACTGCTTCAACATGGAAAAAAGCTTCTCCAAAGACCATTTCTCTGCTCAATTACCCCAGAACCACACACACCTCTACTCAGCCCCAACCCCTCACCCCATCTCTCTGCCATCTTGCCTCCTCTTTCCCGCCCTCGTGTCGTCGTGACCCGCGTCGCTGCCATTTTTCTCCTCCTGCTGCTCCCTGCTGCTCCCTGCCCCCTTCTTCCCTCTCTCTCTCTTCTCTCTCTTCTCTCCCTTCTCTCCCTTCTCCTTTCTCCCTTCTCCCTTCTCCGTCTTGATCTCCAGGAACGATTTTATTATTGGCACATGGTGTGCCAGCTGCCGACTTGACGACGCGAGCGCCTGAACAAGAAAGACTCTCCCCGTTACTCCTCCTCCTTCTTCTTCTGCGGTACAGCTGAGCCCGTTTTGCATTTGCAGATCAACAACACCGGTCAGACGCTCTGGCAGCAGCAGCAGCAGCAGCAAAGTACTCCTAGACCGTCAAACATGGGTCTCCTTGATACCGGCAGCCACCGCCCGGGTCGGCCCAACGGCGAGCAGGCCGAGGCCATGCGTCGAAAGAGCTCTATGTCATATGCCATTGATCTATCTGCCAGCTCAGCCTCCCGCCTCACCTCCACCCGCCCCACTACCCTGCGCTTCCAAAACATCCGCTGGACCGTCAAAACCTCAAGTGGTGATAAGGAACTCCTCCATGGCATCACCGGTGAAGTCAAGCCGGGCGAAGTCCTTGCCATCATGGGTCCGTCTCCCCCCTATCGGCCAGGCCACAGCATCGCCCGTGACCTCTTACGCCCTCGCCCTTACCCTCGCCCTCGCACCCACTCCTCCCCTGCATACTAGGTCCGTCCGGAGCTGGTAAAACGTCACTCATCCAAATGCTCTGCGGACGCGAACGCCACGATGAACTCCCCGATTCAGGCATCACCCTCAACGGCCATCCCCTTGACAAACGCCAGCGACGACGCATCTCCTACGTCATGCAAAATGACGTCCTCCTGAGCAACCTCACCGTCTACGAAACGCTCAAATATGCCGCCCTCCTCCGTCTCCCCGGTCACTATACCCATCAGGAAAAAATGCAGTGCGTCGAAGACGTCATCGACGCCCTCGGCCTACGACATGCCACTGAAACCATCATCGGCAATAACGTTCGCCGCGGCGTCTCCGGTGGCGAGAAAAAGCGCGTCAACATTGGCGTCGAACTCATGGCCGACCCCGCCGTCATGATCCTCGACGGTATGCCCATGTCCAGCAACACCCACTCCATCCCTGTGCCCGGACCTCACTCACAGCCCAACCTCAACCCCAATAGAGCCCACCTCTGGCCTGGACTCGAGCACGGCCCTTCATCTCATTGGCCTCCTCCGCAAGCTTGCAACCAACCAGCAACGCACCGTACGTTTCAGCCGCGGGGAAGAGAGAGAAGAACAGGAACTAGAAAAAAACAAAAGCATCGCTGGCTCCATGATGGCCATCTCACGCATTGCTACCCGACCACTAGATTGTTGCAAGTTTGCATCAACCATCATCCCAGCTGTTTGCGCACATGGACAAGTTGCTCCTTTTGGCCAAGGGCGATGTCGCCTACTTTGGTCCTGCCAACGCCGCCACCGCCTATTTCCGCCAGGCTAACATGCCGTGCCCCCCCGAGTTCAATCCTTCCGACTACTTTCTTGATGTCTTGACCGACCCTGAACGCCGTCAACGCGCCGTCGACTTTTACAATAGCAAGCAATTTGTGCCTCCCAAAGCTGGCAAAGAGATCTCCGGGCCTCGCATCCTTGACCTTGATGCTTCCCTCAGCGAGTCGTCCCTGGACTCTGCCCCCGCGCCAGTCACAAGTGCTTCATTGCCCTTGCCTCTGGGTGGCGGTGATGGTAATGATGATGAATTGGCCGGCGATCGCTGGCCCATCGGCTGGTGGGCTCAAACTAAAATTCTCATGTCCCGCTCCTTCAAGCAAAGCAAGGGTGAATTCTGGACTTGGATCAACTTTTGCCAGGGCGTTGTCATTTCCGTCGTCGTGGCGGCCCTCTGGTGGCAAACCCCAGAGCGCGAGGTAACATCTTGATCATTTTGAACAGCCGACCCTCAACCCATAAAGCGCTAAAACTGAAAAACCCGATGCACCAACTTGGACTCACCGTGTTTGTATACCCCCGCTTGCAGTCCCGCCTGCAGGATCGCGTCGGGTATTCGTTCTTCGGGCTAGTGTACTGGTCCTTTCAGATGCTTTTCTTGGCCACCCAAGTCTTCCCGAGCGAGCGTGACGTGCTTACCAAAGAGCGTGCCTCGGGATCATATCGTCTCTCGGCCTACGTCGTTGCCAAGTCGATTAGTGAGCTGCCGTTACTTGTGGCCCTCCCCACCTTCTTCTTCGTTGTCACCTACTGGAGTGTTGGCCTCGAAGGCGGCTACCGTGCTCTCTTTGCTTGGATGATCCTACTTCTCTGCTCCTTTACCACGTCAAGCATTGGTCTCTTTTTGGGTGCCAGCGTCCTCAACGGCAAGCGTGCTGCAACGGCTGCTACCGTTTTCATGCTCACATCCATGCTTCTGGGCGGATTTTACGTTCAGTACCCGCCCCCAGGCCTTGAGTGGGCCAAATACCTCTCCCTGATCAAATACGGGTATGTCATTCCTTCCTTATGCACACGCCCGTGCTTCAAACCGGCGGCGAGTGGTGCCGTGCCGCACGGCCTCATCAAACCGACCGCTTTCATGATGGCGCCACCCATGTATAGGTACCATTCTCTTTTGGCGTTGGAGCTTGACCAGTCTGACTTGTTCTTTACATGCGATGTTGAATCCTCCGCTTACGATGTGAGTGGCTGGTTGCCTCCCCTCAGGAAATGGTTGCATGTGCCATGATCCTCATTCCACCCTTCCAACATTCTATAGGCGTGCAATGATCCACTTACGCGCGCACAGGGCATCCCCGCTCGCGATGTGCTCGCCCAATATGACGTATGTTCACCTCCCTTTTTTTGCTTCTTTGTTTGTGTTATTTGTGTTGATTTTCCTGGGCACCTTCTGGCCTTGCTGACCATTCCTTGCCTTCTCTGCGCCAGGTGGACGACCGAGTCTGGCTCAACGTGATTGCTCTCATCCTTTTTGCCCTCTTCTTCCGTATTGCGGCCTATCTAAGCCTCAAATACCTGCTGTTCCGCCATTCAAGCTGAATCTGACAGCATGTTTTCTCATTCCGCATCGCTTTCCTCTCCTCCTTTCTTTCTCGTCTGGAGTTTTACTTGGAGTTATTTGGCCTGCGCGGTCCGACAGCTGTGCTGTCTCTCTCGTGCCCGTGCTTGCCTTTACTGACCTTCGTTCTTGACCCCGTTCTTCGAATTGACCTTCCTTGTTGACCTTCCATTCTGATGGATTCTCGACTTTTTACGTCAAGCCCAGTTCTGACTCGCAAACTCTTGGAAAACCTCAGGGTGGGCGCAGTTCCGCGTGAGCTTGAATTTTTCTGACTGTCTGGTAGTAGAAAGACGCGCATAGAAACACTAAGTTTCCTCGCAACAGGTCAGGGGCCAGTTTTTGGCGCCCAAACACAGCACGTCGTACATTTGCCACAGGCACATACTCTAAACAGATTTGTGGACAGTAACAAGAGCATGGCCCTGCACAAGAAGAACGAAAACCGATAAGGGATAAAACACGACTCGCCCAAAGGGCGCATCGCTTGGGTGTGGCAGAGCACACATGAATCAAGAGGACACAACCATAATGTGCTCAAGCACATACAAGCACATACAAGCACATACAAGCACATACAAGCAGACGTTCATACACACTGACAGTGCACACAAGGGAAACGGCACGGGCAACGGCAAGTTGGCGAAAATGAAAGGACAACAAGGACAGCTGTGCCGCAGTACTCTGCTGCATACGCTTTGCAGAGAGTCTGCAACGCGGCAATCTGGTCACAACCATCAAAGGCATGACGCAAGCAACCCTATGCGCGCTGGGGGCTGGATTGCCGGCTCTTGCTCAACATGTGGTTGATAACGTCGGTGGCGTAGGACAGGCGGGCCACGAGGACATCAATGCTGGCATGCTTGCTGCGGCTGATCTCATCGAGGGTGTAAACGCGCGTTTCGCCCTCCGTGTCGATGAAGGCAACTGTATCGCGTGGACCGTTGACCACGACCTTGGTATGATCAAAAAAGTTGATTTGGACAATGCCAATGTTGAGGCGAAACACAATGGCATGCTTGGTGCGAAGCCACTTCTTCACAAATGGCATGTCCGTCGTCTGCGCCGAGGCCTTGGCCAGTGCCGCGGGACCCTAATGGAGTTTCAACAAAAACCCCCGGTGCGTGAGAGTGTGCCGACGGGCGATTATGATCGCAACAGGATCAGACCAAAGCATGTGCCCCTGGGGGCAAGGAGTTCGCCGCAAGCCAGGCCGAAGTAATTGTCTTACGTCCTGCAAGTTGTCACGCATGTAATCGCGAAAGTACTTGAGAAGAGCGATCTTCTTGGTCATGTCATCGGGGAAAGAATCCAGGGTCATGGCCGTCGTGGCTCCGCCCTTGCGCTCACGATTTGTAAACTCAACGTGACTAAAAACGTAAAACGCGAGGCAAAGACGGGCGGCAGGAGCAAGGATATTAGGGAATTGGTGCAAAACGAGTCTGTTGCAGGTCTGTGTGGCCTCGGCATGATGCAAAACGGAACGCACTGGAGATCGGAGGAGAGCACCATCTTTGTGTTATCGTTGAAGAGGACGCCAACACTGTCGTCAGAGAGCTGGTAGCCCAAGCCATACTTGTACGAGTAATCGATCCATTTGGTCACGGCATAGCCGGCCTTGGCCTCGGGGGCAGGGGCCTCCATGGGCTCGCGATACGAGGCGGCAGCTTGCAGGGCCGTCACTTGTGAAAGGCGCGTGTAAAGGGCCTGCAGGTTGTCGTTTGCAGCTCGCGGGGTGGTCGAGGGAGTTGTGGTCGAAGTGGCGGCGACAGATGCTACGCGGTGTGTTTGAGTGGGTGCAACGGTCTTGGGGTGGGGATCGGTGCTGCGCATGTCGATGACCTTTGGCGCAGGCTTGCTGATATGGCGGGCATCCTCGCGGTTGGTGTTGAGTGATCCAAGGGGGGCGCGGCCGCTAGGGACGAGGCTCTCGGCATGAATCTTAGCACCCACTGAAGTGGTGGTGACGGGGTTCTCCAAGTTGGTGTGAGCCGAGCCGGGCTGGGCGCGGTAGGTGGCCGCGGGGCGCACCTGGCCAGGGATGCCGGCAAAGTCTGGAGTCATGTGCAGGGCCTTGATGGGCATGCGCTGAGGGATGTACGCGCTGCCTGCCAAGAAGGGATGGCGCATAATCTCCTCGCAGTTGGGTCGGCACTTGGGGTCACGGTGCAGCAACATGCGAATCAGGTCGACAGCCTCGGGGCTGATCTGAAGGGTAGAAGGAAAGCTGTAGTCGTTGCGCTTAATTTTGCTGTACGTAGTCTTGATGTCACGTGTTTCAAAGGGAGGGCGGCCCACGATCATGGTGTAGAGGATGCAGCCGATGGACCAAATGTCCACCTCAAAGCTGTGTCCCGAGTCCTTGCCCTCGAGAATCTCGGGGGCAATGTAGTTGGGGGTACCGCAGAGCGTGCGTTTGCGTTCGCCATCATGGGTCAGGGCGGTGGCCAGGCCAAAGTCGCCGACCTTGACCTGCATCTCTTCGTTGAGGAAGAGGTTGCCCAGCTTGAGGTCACGGTGGATGACTCGGCGTGCGTGCATGTGGGCTGTGGCTTCGACAATCTATGCGGAGCGGTGTCCACCACGGAAAGGAAATCAGTTTGATGAAGAACGCAAGCAAAGGGGGAGTGAGCAGAGTGGCAACGGCTGTGTGGACACACCTGAAGCAGGAACCAGCGAGCCTCGATTTCCGACATGCCACGGCGGCGCTTGTGCAGCTCCATCATTGACTGAAATGAAGAAAAAGGTCGTGAGGGAACTCAGCACGCGCCGGTGTGTGTGTGGGGAACGATGGACATATATGACCAGTGCATTTTCGCAGGCAGCGTAACGGGCAAGAACGAACGAGGATGTGTCGAAGGAGCATACCTGGTTGGAGCAGATCTCGAGCAAGATATAGACGTTGTGTTCATCTTCAAAGTAGCTGTGGAAGCCGACAATGTACTTGTGGGTGAGCGAGCGGTGAATCTGGATTTCGCTTTTCAGCTAGATGGGGCGGGCAGACCGATGGTGAGAATGGCCGTGCACAGTCGATGTGGGAAGCGCGACGGTGTTATTTTTCTCGAGGACTGCACGATGCGCTTGCATGGTGGTCCTTTTTCCTCCCTCCCTCTCTTTTATTGCGTTTATTTCCTGGCGTGAATGCTGTTTGCGACGGGCAGGGCAGGCGCACTTTTTCTTTGGCACGGTGCTTGCTGAGGGAGGATTTGGCCACGATCTTGCCGGCATAGACACGCTTGGTCATGCTATCGGTGAGCTTGTAGCATTGGGCAAAGCCACCCTGAAGAAAACCGGACGAAACGGACCAAGGGCATGAGAGTTGCATTTGCAGCGCGGCGTGCAAAGCGCACGAGAAGCAGGTAGGGCAGCGGCAGGCACGAGTCTGTTTGGCTTCCTCTGGCTTCTCAAGTGACTGAGTTGATGTGTTTGAATGTAGATGTATTGCCCTTGAGCAGCCGCTGTAGGCGCGGCTGGGCCTTTGCAACCTGTTGGTTGTTTCGATGGGTGCTGGAGGGAGGAAGAGAGGGGAACACACCTTGCCAAGGAAGCTACCGCGAATGTACTTTGCGCCGGTGGCGGAATCCTCAATGATGGAAGGGATGCTTGACGATGAAAAGCGGGAGCTGGAGCTGGAGGCTCGGCTTCCGGTGGTCACGGGTCGTCGCCCGTAGGCCGCGCTGCGCGCGGGCATGGCAGTCGCCATCTTGGAAATAAAATTCTTAGAGAGTCTTGGACACGGGGGGCCTGTCAAGCGCTGCGCGGCAAAGCATGGATCGTGAGCGAGGCCGACGACCGTGGTAGATGGCAACTGTAGGATCAACGCAGAGCGATCGGGTCGGCAAGACGCAGGCTGCTGAGAGGGAAACAGGAGGGAGGAGGAGGCTTACTCTTGAGCCGCGAAAATGGCGGCAGCGACGCTGAGGAAAGCGGCCCACACCAGTTTGGCAGACAACAGGGCAACGATAACCTCACGAGAGCACGGGCCAGCTGCGCGCGCAACCAGAGAAAGCAACAAGCCCAGTTGCCAAATCAAAAACCGAATATCAAGCCACGCACAGACGTGAAGGAAAGAAGCGGGCAAGGTCAAGGTCAGGGCGGGGGAGAAATGGAAGACCTGCGAGCGAGCGCACGCGTGAGAGAGAGAGAGAGAGAGAGAGAGAGAGAAAATTTTTTGAGAATTTTGAGGATTGAACATCCAGATTTCGAATATTGGCGCCAAAAAAAGATCAAAGCCTTTGGCCTTAATTTCAATGCTACAACTATTGCAAAGCTACAGGCCGCAGATCATTGTCAGACGATATTGGCTGACGACGAATGCAGTGAGACATTGATTGAACCCCCTTCACACTTCTCTGAAACCTTTACTATAAAATCAATCCCCTTTGTCTCTCTCTTCTCTCTTCTTCTATTTCTCTCTTCTCTCTTCTTCCCTCTCTCTCTTCTCTTTCTCTCTTCTCTCTCTCTCTTCTCTCTCTCTCTCTTCTCAAACTCTCTCAAACTCTCTCTCAAACTCTCTCTCAAACTCTCTCTCAAACTCTCTCTCAAACTCTCTCTCTCTCTCAAACTCTCTCTCAAACTCTCTCAAACTCTCTCTCTCTCTCTCAAACTCTCTCTCTCTCTCTCTCTCTCTCTCTCTCTCTCTCTCTCTCTCTCTGTCTCTCTCTGTCTCTCTCTCTCTCTCTCTCTCCACGTGGAACACCACACACAACACACACAGCGACATTTTCGCGAGGACGAGGACGATGGCGTTGGCGGAGCGTCGGGACCGGAGCAAGTACAAGTATGGCAGCGACCCGCGCGGTGCGACGTGGTCGAATGGTACGTTGACAAACGCAATGTTGTAACAGAGGCAAAGTGGTTGGGGCTGGAGATCACCCTGGTCGTGGGTGGCGCGCTTGAAAATCGCCTGACACCCTCACGGCGCACCCTTGCCCTGTGGTGTATCTGTGGCATCATCTCGTCCCGTCGTCTAGACCAATCCAAGTTTGGATACAAGTACTTGCAGCGCATGGGCTGGTCCGATGGCCAAGGTTTAGGTCGGGATCAGAACGGCATTACCAAGCACGTCTCGGTTCGCAAGAAAAACAACTCGCTCGGTACGGAGAGATGGCGCGGTCGCCAAGCTGACCTCTGTTTCGTTCCGCCCTCCACATACACCGCTTTTTGGGTTGTGTTTTCCAAAATGACTGCACATGAATAACGTACGCCGAGCCTTTCTCCTCACCTGGCTTTGCGGTCTGCGTCGGGCTTTAGGCATTGGTGCCGATGCCAATACAGACTACAATTGGCTCGCCACTCAAGACGCCTTCTCCGAAGTCCTGGCCGGTCTGAACGACGAAATTTGTACGTGGCCCTCTACCCTATGGGATTCACGTAACTGTCAATAACAACGCTCTTGAAACGCCCCAAGGCCCCCATCCCTGACTTTTCATGTTCTGGCCCTTGTCTCCTTAAGCGGGCAAGAAGACGGTTGATGAACAACAAGATGAGCCAAAGGGCTCGCAGCGTCAAAAATATGTCAACCGCCGCGCCCGAGCACTGTATGGGCGTTTTCAAAAGAGCAAGGACCTTTCCAAGTATTCGTCAGAAGATCTGCAGTGCATTTTTGGCGAGCAGGAGCGCCGCCCAGATCGCTTTAAGGAAGAGCCCTCTTCCGCCAAAGAAGAAGGCGATACCACCCCCGACGTGGTTCGTGATGCCTGGTCCCTCTCCCCCTCCATCCCCTCTCCATCCCCTCTCCATCCCCTCTCCATCCCCTCTCCATCTCCTATTGGCGGCTGTAGGCTCACCACTCCTTTGTTGTTGTTCCACATCTTCAGGATACCGACACTGGCGTCAAAACCTTGACGCAAGCCGTCAGCATTGGTGACTACTTTGCTGCCAAACTTGCTGGTATGTCCCCTTGCCCCTTGTTCCTTTTCTTCTTCCGTTCGTTCTTTTCCAGGTCCTTTGATGGCTTACCTTGGACTTTTCGTCATGGCTCGTCATTGCGCAGCCAAGCGTCTGGCTGCTGCCGGTGGAGCCCCTGCGTCGGCCAGCGCGGTCACGCCAGACTCCGAGGCCAACAGCCCCTTTCCCGCCTCCGACGCCAGTGAAAGCAGTGAGGCCGCTCAAGGTCAAGAAGAGGAGCAGCCCAAGAAGAAAAAGGCCAAAAAGTCCAAGAAGGAGTCCAAGAAGGAGTCCAAGAAGGAGTCCAAGAAGGAGTCCAAGAAGGAGTCCAAAAAGAGCAAAAAGAACAAGCGTGCCAAGGCGGATAGCGACGAGGACGACTCTGAGACAGCTGAAAAGGCCGCCAAGCGCGTCAAGGCCGCTGATGACCAACCAGACGCCAAGAAAAAGAGCAAGAAATCGAAAAAGGACAAGTCTATGAAGAAGAAAAAGTCCAAGGCCTAGTCCAACTCCAGTCTCTTCTCGACGCGTGGCGTTGACTCGCGATCTTACATCGCCGTTCCGCACGGGGTGTGCTCTTTTGCCTGCCTGTGTCTTCTTGGTCAGCCCAATGTGTGTGGGCTTTGTATTGCATTCGTATGCAACTTGGCATCTGAGATGCTGTCCCCGGTGCTCTCGCCCTTTTTTGCCTCCTTGGGCACAGGCGTTGATTGCGAGAGCTACCATTGTTCTTGTCGTCGCGATTGTAGCCGTGAGTGGCGGTCCTGTTTTATCTCAAGCCGCCGAGAGTTGTGCCGCAGTGATCTGCACGGCGTTGGGCTCTTGTTTCCAGCCCAACCTCAAGTCATGATGCTGCCCTCAAAATTTACATCCAAAGTGTTCGACTTGTCACCTTGTGAACTGTGTGCAAATGTTTGTCAAAGTCGCGCGGCGCTGATTCGACGCGAACACTTCTTCATGGCGCCGTTGGCCAGGCAAAACAAACGAAACCACCACCACCACCACCACCACCACTAACACCCCCCCCCCCCCCAAAAAAAAAAAGCACTGCCAGCTCCAAAAAAAAACACCCCTCATATTTTTGGTGTATTTCGTAATAATTTTGCTCGAATTTTACTCGAATTTTACTCTTTCATGTTGTTTTGTTGGTGGTGTCATTCCTGTGCAAAGGGCAGCGAGAAGTGTAGTTGGCTGTTTGTAGGAGAGCGTCTGGTACGTTTCTTGATGCTTACAGCACCGGCAGTTGTGCTTTCAACACCGATAATTATACTTGGCTCGCGCTGTAACGCCAGCTGACACTTGTACGCTCGACTAACTAGCGCTTGCTCCTTGCCACAGCATTGAAACGAGAGCGAAAGGAATGGCAGAGGTAGCCCGGAGGAGGAGTTGATGACTCATGGCCGCGATGACTCATGGCCGTTGAATCATTTCAGCTCGACATGCAAGCAATTTGGGTCAGCAACAGCACACGGGACTGAATGCAGGTGCTCGACTCTGCCCCGGGCCTGCCTGCTTTCTCTTGATCCCTTGGCGCACAACGATAGGATGGGCACAGCAGTAGGCAAAAGAGATTAAATTTGAAATCATTCGGACGAAAGAAGAAAGACACCCATCACCATCACACCCACGTCAACATCTCATGTCTTGCGGATGATGGACAGCACACAGTGCTTGCGGAGCATCACGCGGTACTAACCAGACGCCAAGGTCTTGACGCTGGCAGTGCTCAACGTGAAGCTCGCGGTGAAACTCGGAGGAAAAGACGAAAGATATATGTACATGCTCATTTTGGTCCAGAGAGAAAAGAGAGAAAGGGAGGGAGAGAAAGCCTGGCATCACTGTCTTGAGCGGTTGAGGCAACTTGAGTACGCCCTGCAGCCCCTTGCCAAGGTGTGCTCGGGATCGGGCTGCCTACTCTCGACTCCTGATTCTTGCCCACGCCAAAGCGCGCCATGATCAGCGCTGCAAACCTGGAATGAGAATCTGGTAGCCATTGGCTGGGCCAACCTGCCGTGAGCCCGTCGACGCCGCGCTCAGCGAGGTGCCCGTGGACTCGAAGCTTGTTAGGGATAACGTGTCACTGCTTGTATCGTCGTTCAACGCCGTAAGCGAAGCAAAAGGGTTGGCCCCGGTGTATCGAGTCAATGGCGTTAAGAGCATGTTCTGAACCCATTGGCGCACTTGCTGGTGTGCTTCGCCTGAGGTCTGTGTGAAAAGGAGAGGAATGTTCTTGCGGTGCAAATCATCTACCACGTCCTCCATCCCGGCCGTCAACACGCGATCCAGTCCCGAACCATCCTCCTGCATGACCAATAGGACGTCTAGGCATTCGATGACGCAGCCAAATAAAAGTGAGATAAGGTGCTTGGAGCGAGGCAAGCGCCGGTGAGCGGCCCTATCCTTGCTGAGATGATCCGAGGCCAAAGTACTAACCTGGGCGCGGTAGAAGGTGTGCAGAGGCTTCATACATGCCGGGCATTTGAATATGGCGAAGGTGTTGGACGGGAAGGTCGGCAGCGCCGGGCAAGGTGTCATCCAGCAATACGCAGGCCGCATCGCGGCTTTCAACTACTTGCCAGAGGTCGAGCGCGCCAACTTCGGGCAGGAGCGCCGCCAACTCCAACACGGCGATACCAGCCAACGGGTGTGTGGTAGCCACATGCACCGTCAGGCGGCGGCTTTGGAAGGCCTCCAAGTTGAGGAAGCTGTTGATCATATGGGCCACAGTCAAGGCCCACGAGAAGATGCGCGTGGTAGCCTCCACAGCACGGGTGGGGGTGTCCGGCAATGGTCGCTGCAGTCGGAGGTAGTACCACTCTTGCCACGACTTGAGCTGCTGCTTTTGACTGCCACGCCAGCGCTCGCGGGGAGCCAGGCGCTCGCGATGGAGCTGTTCAAGCTGGCGTTGTTCCTGACCCACCTCCTCCTGAAGCGGGGCCTCCCAACGAAGCTGATCAAGTTGAACAATGGTGTTTTCGCCCACGCCCAGCGTGGCAAGCTCATCATCCAAAAAACCAGCAGCCTCGAGGCGCTCGGCAATCTCACGGTGCAAATCAGCAGGGCAGCCGTCATTGCCCACGCTTTGGCGCCGCCGCATCAGGTACCAGGCGGCTAGGTCGCTGAGGTCGGGGTGAAAGTTGGAGTTTTGTTCACCAGCACGATGCTGGCGAATGGCCAACTGGCTCTGGCGCGACTGTAGCTGCAGCGTTTCATCCCGGCGCTTGCCAACCTCGTCCAAGGCTCTTTGACACTGTGCCTCCTGAGACAAATGCGGCGAGAGGTCCAGCAAAAGTCAATGCATGCCCGGTGAGTTTGCAATCGAGAGCCAAGCAAATATCTGCCTTTCTATGGATGGGCAGGAAAAAGTGTGTTGCGGCGAGCAAAGTCTGGTGGGATGCACCTACCCGTGGGTGATTGCGGGGAAGAACGGCGAGGGCTTGTTTGTAGGAGCGCGCAGCTCCATCGAGGTCATTTATTTTTTTCAGGGCCATGCCACGACTGTAGTGAGGACGCCACCACGCTGGTTCAAGCTGCACGGCTTGATAGGCATCCTGGGCGGCGGCACTATAGTCCATGAGGCCATAGTGTGCAAATGAGCGCATGTTAAAGGTTTGTGCCAGCTGGTGCTCCTTCTCAGCCGTGGAGTGGTCCTGCTCTTCGCTGATCTCCAGTTCGCCTTGTAAGGCATTGATGATCTTGCTCAAACAGTGCAAAGCGCTGCGATGGTAACCCTGGCCGAGTAGAATCTTGGCCTCGTGTTGCAGGTTCTCAGTGTCCTGCATGAGATTGCATCATAAGTCTGCACCTACCAGCTCAGGTTGAGCGGAAGCGTTTTCTTTCATGGGGCGCGCGCATACCTCGGGAGCCGCCACGGGTTCGGTGAGAACGACAGGCCACTTGGGTTGCGGGGAGGAGAGGTGTTGAACGACTTGCTCGAGGGAGTAGCAGGGCAGCGGGAGGTCATTGAGCTTGAAGTTGTCACCAGGGCGAGCGCGTGCCAGCAGGTGGTGGGACATGCGCGCCTTGTGTACCAGAGACAAGACAAACTGAAAGGCCAAGGCAGCGGTCAGGCGGGCGTGAACAGGCGAGTCCGAGCCGCCATGGATGGCAAGAGGAAGGGGCGTGGAGGGGGGCAGCGGCAGACCTGTTGGGGGGCTTCGAGATCGTCAAGCGCCAAGACTTCAAAGCCGGTGGCTTGCTCGTCACTACCATTCTCGCTGACCATTCCCAGGCGCGGGGGCTGGGAACAGACGGCGCGGCCAAGGCCTCCCATGTGCGAGACGCGGCGCGTGGTGACGGGTGTGGTGGTTTCAAGAGCCACGGACATTAGGCTGCATACGGAGCCGCGGGGACCCTTGATCGGGGCTGGTGCGTCTCCAGCATCTTCGTCCTCAGGCTCCTCAGCGAGGAGGCTGAGCTGTGAACTGGAGCGAGCTGTTTGATAGAGTTGGGTCACGGCGGCACTGAAGGAGGCATGACGCTTGGGTGTTGGGAGAAGTGAGGTGAGAGGGGTGTTTGAAGCTGCGGGAGCTCCACGGAGGGAGCCATTGCTAGAGCACGGATGGGGGTGGGGACAGGCAGTGATCAGGGCAGGAGAACTATGCCGGGGTTGGCGGTGGTGGGGCCTGACAAAGGGTGGCGCGACGCTCGGGCATCTTACCTGCCGCCGCGAGAGTATTTGGCAAGGATCATGGTGCGCCCGTTTTCCAGGGCTCGCAGCGAGTATGAAACGTTGTTGGTGGCTTTGATGCGGATGAGGAAGCGACCATCGTTGACGGGTCGGCGGGCGGCGAGTAGGCCTAAAAGGAAGGCCAACGTGGCACGGAAACAGGCAGGCAGGCAGGCCGGCAGGGTTGTAGAGGCGTGAGCAAAAACACGGCTGTCACGGCTTGGTGGAGATGATGTGGTAAAGGTGTCGATCGGGTTTGTCGACAGTTCATCTGCTGGTGTGTGGGGGTGGCTCAAGGGAAAGAGCGTACGTTCAGCACGTTGGCGGGAGATGGCGGGGTGCAGGTAGGCCGAGACGGGGAGAGCGTTGTTGTCATCGTTGTCGGGAAAACCAGAGTCTCGACTCGGGCAGGACGTGGGTTGGGAGTCTGTCTCGACAAAGCCTTCTTTATCGATGACGCCGTACTCTGGCAAGTCGGTGGGCAGATGCAACAAATGGTGAGGGCCAGGGCAGTGGAGGCTTCAAACAAGATGACTGAGCAGGCGAGTGAAGGGCTGAGGGAGTGGCACCGTGTGCTCTGTGTGCTCTGGACAAAACAATGTGTGAGAGAGGCTTTGCACTGACCTGATTCCAAAGTGGCAGTGACGGCCATGGTCGAGTTGGCAGGCCGGGCAAGCGCCGATTCAGCGTTCATGGCGGTGCGTGGCCTGGCAGCCTCGGTCAGATTGGAGACCAATTCGACCGGGGTTGATGACAATGTGTGAGTTGTATCCTCATCAACAAGAGGGCATGTGCTGGTCGGGCGGCGTGTGCTTTGGGGACGGGCGCCGGCGAGGGTGGGTGGGGGAAGAGCGAGCTGGGGAAGAGGGGAATGCCACCGACAGACAGCACATCCAGCGACGTTCTTCCGCCTCGGCCGATGGCACGCCGCGCAATGGTAGGATAACAAAAAGGCCTTGCAGTGCTATGTTTGATTCTACGAGCGGGGAGCCAAGCAACAGAAACGTGACTGTATGCGTGCCTGCCTGTGTGAGCGAGTATGGGCATCGCAGAGCAAGCAGACCGCAGCGCAAGCAGCACGGCAAGATGGAGGAATGTGCGATGGCAAACATGTCGACACACTGTCCGCCACCATCCTCCATCTGCTTGCATGCATGGAGCCTTGTCATGACGAGCAATTGAGAGAGAGAGAGAGAGAGAGAGAGAGAGAGAGAGAGAGAGAGAGAGAGAGAGAGAGAGAGAGAGAGAGAGAGAGAGAGAGGAGAGAAAAATTTTTAAATTCTTTAGGGCGGAAGGAGTTGATGTCTGGGCTCGAAGTCAGTCAAGGCCTTTGGTCGGGACTTGGCGCCACAATTGCAGGTGGCCCACCTTGTCCCGCTTCAAAGCTGATCATTGCTCTCTGCTGGTTTGGTGCGTTTGTGCTATGGGGCGGCGACTTTCAAGCCCATAGCGTTGGCTCGACGAGCGGCGATGCCAACGGCTTTGCCAACGAAACAGGCGTATCAGTGCCCCAAAGCCCATACCAACTTGTTGGGAGTGTAGACATGAATGAATGGATGTCTTCGTGGGACGACGGCGCGACGGTGAGTCGGTGTCCGTGTCCGTGTCCGTGTCCGTGTCGGGGAAGAAGGAAGAGGAATGAGGCGGACACGCCGCGCCGGCGCCAAGCGACTCGCACACAGTCACTGCTTTCGTCAAATATTTTGTCAGCAAAATAGATAAAATATGCTCACTGATTTCGAGAAAAAGGTATTCCACCTAACGAACGATCAAGCCGATACGAGAGGGTAGGGGGGTTGGCAGGTCCAAGTCAGAGAATGTGCAAGTTTACATGCGGCTTTCAAAGTAAAAACCAAGGCGATTCAGAGGTATCGAGTCCGATCCACCAGTTTCAGAGAGATAGCGCGCGAGCTCGGCGACGATCTCACAAGCAAGTTGACGGGTCAGTGAATCTCGAGTCTGCAAAAGGGCAGCCGCTTCCCTCCCTCTTCCCGGCTCTCCCCTTTGCCGTACCCCGTTGCACTTGCATCGTGCTTACACATGGGGGAGGGGGCGTAGCCGGGTGGTGCTTTTGTGTCCTCTGTTGAGCTTGATGCGTCGCATTACGCTGGCCAGGATGCGGTGCAGCTGATGACTATCCGTTGATCGCTTCTCAACTCGTGCTCGCGCCCGGCGACGATTGGGTAGACGTTTGGCGAGGCGGAGACCAAGTCGGCATCTGCTTGCCTCGCTGATCGGTGGTGACAGCTTTGCTGTTTGTCCCCTCGCCCGCCCGCTCAGGGCGCACGGGCTGAATCGTTGCCACCATCAAACATGGACAAGCACCTGGCTCCCTTTGATCCAGCGTCGTACACACGCCTGGATCTCCAGCAACCATCGCTGGATGCCATTCCGCCTTATGCGCGGGGCCGCGTCTACAACCGCTACAATGACATTCTCCCCTCGCCCGCCTCGCGCGTCATCCTGCCCGAGGAACGTGGCGATCCCGCCACGACCTACATCAACGCCAATTATCTCCCCTTTCTCGGTAACCCAAAGGCCTACATTGCCGCCATGGGCCCCCTCCCCACCACCATTCACAGGTCGGCCGGCCCGCTCGGCCCTCTTGTTCGAAGATACCTCGTGTTACTCTTTTTTGTTTTGTTTTGTTTTGTGTTCCGCTCACGCATGACTGCTCCTTGGATCGATTTCCAATCTCCAAATCAGCTTTCTGCGCATGGTGATCGAGCACAAGACCGTCGCCATGGTATGCCCCCGCAGTCCGCCCCCACAGTCCGTCTCCGCCATCCACTGCCCGCCAAACATGCGTCGGCTTCCCTGTCTCACCATGTTCACTCGACAGGTCATGACCACAAACTTTGAAGAAAAAGGTCGCAAAAAGTGTGAATGGTATGCATCCGTCTGTCCATCGCGCCGTGACCCAACGGTCTCCCGCTGCCCTGGACGCACAGGCGCGCAGCCGTCTAATTCTTGCTTCTTTGCCGTTCTGAAAACTTTAGTTATTGGCCAGAGCTCCCGCAAGATACCATGGAGTTTGGCGACATCAAGGTCCTCTTCCTTCCGGTTCCCCTCACCGCCTTTCCTCCCACTCTAACCAGCCAGATCTCACCCACGGCCATTGCCCCTGGCTGGACAGGTCTTCAACGAGGGTCAACAGCAAGAGCAGTTCTTCCGCATCACCCGCTTGCGGCTGGAGCGGGGTGGCACGATCCATCGCGTTACGCACTTCTTTTACAACACATGGCCCGATCGCGTGCGTCTGCCCATACCTGTGACTTTTGTGCAAGGGTCAACTCTCCTTCAAATTCTCATACGCCCACTTCTGCTCCGATGATTTTTTTTTTTTTCCCTCTTTTCTTCTTTTGATTCTGCTCCTACCCTGGACCCATGTTTAGGGTGTGCCACGAAGTGATGATAACGTCATGTTGACGCGTGGAGTGGTCAAGATGCTGGCTGCCGTGCGGCGCCATCGCATCCAGACCGACAAGGCCACCAGCCCCCTTCTCGTGCATTGCTCAGCCGGCGTCGGCCGTACCGGGTGCTTTGTTCTCATTGATCAATGCTTCCGCCTTTTGGAACACAATCAACGCGTAAGCCGTCGCACCTTTGCTTGTGCACGCCCCACGCCCCACGGCCTTGTCCTCGTTGCCTCATGTACCTGGGGCCCGAACCCTCCTTCCATTCATTCGTAGCTGGATCTGGCGGCCTTGATCAAGGAAAACCGTCGCTATCGCATGGCCTTTGTCCAAACTCCCGAACAGTTTGAGTTTGCTTGGCGCACCGTCGCTGGTTACATCAACTTTCGCCTGGTGCGCATGACCTCAAATCGGCGAAGCTTGCAGGCTGATGGCCCCATAATTTTCAGCCCGCCCTGATGCAGCCCAAGCTCACGGCGTCCGCGAACTTGTGTGTCGTAGAAAACTATGGCCCAGGCCCAAGCTACACCCTCTTCCACGAGCTCCAGTCAAGCCCCCGTGCCCGCCGCCAGAGCAAGCCCTGCACCGGTACCGGCGGCCGAGCCCTCCCCTCCAACCAGTCCCCGCGAGCCCAAGGAAGGGGACGTGCTCATTACGACCGAGGCCTACAGCAATCCGGACGGACACGACGACACACTCTCCTTTCAGGTGCCTGCCCATCCTTCAAAGTCTGCAGCCGCTTTCCCTTCTCAGGCCCCAGTTCTCTCACGTACACCTTCTCTTGGACGCCTCTGGTCGTCCTCCCAATCACGCATCCACAATTGCTAGGCGGGCATGCGCTGTATCCTCATGGAAAAGTCAGAACACTGGTGGCGCGTTTCCATGCGCAATCAGGACGGCTGGGTGCTACCTAGCCTTTTGCGTCCTGTCGGCACCACGCCAGTGCCATCGTCAGGGTCTACTGCGGCGCCAGCATCTGCCAAGCCCACTACCAAGACCCCAAGCGCGCAGACAAACACCCAAGAAGCGGCGCCAGACCTCTTTGCCACTAAATCCACCCCAGCAGCCGAGGAACCCCCGACCGTGCGTTGTTGTGTCACGCTCTCAACTGGTGTCCAGACGAGTGATGCCACAGCCTTCCGTATGATGCACTCATGCGAAGCGTCATGCCGGCGTGAATGGCTCCTTCTGGTAGAAACAAGCTGCTTTGGGCGGCCATGATAGCCAAAGCGGATCAAGGGCGCTGTCTGCAGCTACATCTGCTTCCTCGCTGCGTTCGACCACGTCACCTTTTGATAATCCCTTCGGCAAAGAGCCACGTGCTGCCGGAACGGCCTCGCCCACTCCCATGCAGAATCCGTTCTCGGCCAAAGCAGGCAACTTTAGACGCCCCACTCGCTCGTCCAGTTCCTCCACCACTGGTGGAGTCATCACCAAGAACCCTTTTTTGGCCTCCATGGTAGGTCAAGGGGTGGCTTGAGTTGGGCACGGATTGATGGGACGAGGCCCAACAGAGTTGTCGTAGCTTATGTCACGATGCATTTGTTTCCCATTCCCCTCTCGGTCGTCCGCTGAGTAGAAAGTCAAGCCCGGCCAAAAGCTGCAGGCGCGACCAGAGCTCAGCTCGTCGGCCAAGTCCAGCGTGGCGACTGATGCCACGACTGCCAGCAGCATGGATACCGCGCCACCCCGGGACGATGCCGATGAGGACGAGGTTTTTGATGACCCTGATCCTGGTGGGTCTGGTTGCAGAGGCGTGGCGCAGCGTGGGGTGGCATGGCATTGTTTTAATTTTTCTGAGGTTAGCTCATGGTATGCTCATGTTGATGACGAAATAGCTCCTGTGGCAAGTCCAGTCAAGCAGCAAGGGGTGAGTTCTTACGCCCCCCGCCTCCTTTTTTCAAGGAGGCCACAAGCGCATGGGCAGTCGCAAGTGGGTTTGAGTTGGGTTGACCTGGAGTGCTTGTTGTCTAGGTGCTCGAGCAAGAGCGACCTCTAACATTTGAAGAGATTATGGATCGAGCCACCCGGATGGACGAGAACGGCGACGAGGTGTGTTCAAATTTTCGAGCCCTTGATGCATGCCGTGCAACCGTCTATTCTCAACAGAATTTTTCTGCTGAATCACAGCTCCCTCCGTCGGACGACGAGCCCGAAACTGAGGTTAAAAAGCCTGATGGCGTTGCAGCTGCGGTGGCTCGGGATCAGCCGGTTGTGCCGACTCAGCGCGCCCCGGCTGCCGAGACCACAATGCCTGTCTCCAGTGGTATGTGGCAGCGCAGCGTGGAAACATGCCACATATTCGTCGAAGGAACAAAGGGGTGTGGGTTGCGACTCACAATGGTCCTCTTTCGTTGAATCTTGACGTTGTGGTTGAATGGGTGTATTTGCAGTTGAAAAGGCACCGCGGCCAAAGGAGGCCTACCAGTCTGATTTGCCGGTGGGTTGACTGTTGCGCGGGTCTGCCGCCATTCGCCTCGGTCATCACTCATCTTCTTTCACCACTTTGGGCAGGCTTGGACGTATGTGGATGAGCACGGTGAGCTGCGTCGACTGGCAGATCTGGCGCCGGCTTATAAGGTACGCAGCTGCTTGCGAGGCGTGACCGAGGCGCTCGCGTGTGTGGGTTGCATCAGTCGGCGATGCGTGCGGTTCGATTTGTGTGGCCATCCATGCTGACGCCTGTCGCTGTGCAATAGCATGAATTTTCTTTGGACCAAGCCCGGCTGCGTCATTTCAGTGAGATTGAGGGCCCGGCCATCGTGTCGCACAACCAAGAGTGGATTGAGCTTGCGACGGGTCTACCCGCGCGTGCCCTCGTCTCCGAAGCCTGAACACAGCGACGATCCCTAGCGCGCTTTCTATAGCGACTGTTGGATCCGAGTTGGCGCGTGTGCCCCCGATGCCGTATGCATGCCAATGGCGGTCGAGTACAGCCAGCCACCCTTGGAATATAGATGTAGTGACTGTGAATAATTATATTACCATGAATATGCAGGCTCGTGTGCATATTTGCAGGGCGAAGGACGTTGCCATTCGTCCACGCATCTCTTTTCGGGTGTTTAAAATCAACACGCAAGGAGCGAGGAGGAGCGAGGAAGAACTCGATACACAGACCAAGAGCTTATGGACAAGTACAGTCGCTATGAGCGCCGTGTCAGTTTACGCCGTGACCACCAGGCCTCCGAGTCGCGCGCTTCCATAAGAAGGTTTGGGGAGGTTTTACCTCCTCTCTCTCTCTCTCTCTCTCTCTCTCTCTCTCTCTCTCTCTCTCTCTCTCTCTCTCTCTCTCTCTCTCTCTCTCTCTCTCTCTCTCTCTCTCTCTCTCTCTCTCTCTCTCTCTTTTCAGTTTTCTTTTAATCGTGGTGGATGTCTGACATTTCACACTAAACCTCTTGTTAGCAATACAAACTTCACAAACGCTTCAATTCCTCTGACCTTCAGCAACACTTTCCGTCCTATCTCTGTAAAACAACTCTCACTCTCTCTCTCTCTCCGCGCGGCGACGGACGTTGAGTGCTTCCTCTGGTCCGCGGTCGGCCGAGTATCTATCGACGACCCGCTTGCTTGCCTGGTTGCCTTTTGTGCGCCTTGGCTGGACGCGCTTGGGTCCTTCCTGGTTTGTTTGATAGCACCGTTACAAGAGTAGCAGAGCTCTGCTTGGCTTGCTTCCTTTTTTTTTTAGTGCATGGTGTTGAGCGGCGGAACGTTGCGTCACTCAATGGCAGCGACCCGCGCTTGAGCTTTTTGTTTTCAGCAACGCCATGCGGGCAGCGCTTGCCGTACACGCCGTGGCCTGGGTGCTGCTGGCACTGGCGACAGTGCCTTGCCTGATCACTGCCCAACGCACCGTGCGTATAGGCTTTGTCGCCACTCGGTACGCGCTTGGCAACAGCTAATCCGACTCGTGAAACGTGCACGCACACGGTTCCGTGCCCCTCCCACTCTGACGAAGCAAGCAGGAGGGATATACATATACAGACAGACAGGCAGGCAGACAGGCAGGCAGGCAGACAGACAGGCAGACAGACAGACAGGCAGACAGACAGGCAGTCAGACAGACAGACAGACAGACAGACAGACACACGTGCATCTCGCTAGCACAAGCCTGCTTGCTTGTTCTCGGACTCACGCTGCTCTGCCACCGACCATGCAGCTCATACTTTGGACACCACAATGCTGGTGGATTTCAGACGGAGTTTGCCTATCGTGCCGCGCTCGACTATTTTTCCACCGTCGACCCCAGCGTGCAATTTGAGGTGTGTGTTTTGCCTGCATCAAGCCCCCCCTCTCAACAAACGCGCACCCACAGCCCACGGCTCACGCAGACCCAACTCCCATCTCAAACGCCCACGTTTAGACGATCTATCAAGAGTCAAGCACAACTGTCAACAAGAGCGCAGCCATCCGTTGCACCGAAACAGCCCAGGCCCTGGTGGCCAACGACGTTCACCTGGTGATAGGTCCTTCAACTTCCTCCTGCAGCATGCCGGGCGCCACCGTGTTTGCTGAAGCCGGCATTGCTCAGGTTTGTTGTCCCATCCCAGCGACGAATCTTGCACATGCAACCCCTGGACCCCGTCTCCTCCTTGACCAGTCGGGGTTTCTGGGACTTTCTTCTTCGCCATAGATCTCCGATTCGGCCACTGCCGAGGCCTTTGACAATACGACCCGCTTTCCAACCTTTTTCCGAGTCTCTCCATCTGGTCAGTCTGTGCAACACACACTTTTAACCGATACCCGCAGGTTTACACTCGCATTTTAACTTTGCTCGGCACTCACCCTTTTGGTCATCTCCCTCTGCTCTTCTGCTATTCCGTCTTTTGACTCCCTGCCTAGACAAGTCACAGGGGCGGATTCTGGCCAGCTTTACTTCATTCTGCGGCTGGGACTCCGTCGGTGTCATTGGTGTGCTTTTGTTCTTCCCGATTATCCCTCCCCTTCCCCCCTTGAAGCGGCTGCCATCACTCATTTGCACCATGCCCCCCCCCCCCGCCCCGCCCCGCCCCGCCCCGCCCCGCCCCGCCCCGCCTTTCTTTTCTTTTCTTTTTTTTTTCCTTTGCTCTTTGCTCATCTTTTAGTCACGGACGATACATGGGCGCTCGGCCTCAGCAGAACGGTCATCGCCACGCTCCGCGAGCACAACGTGACCGTGAGCAATGTGATACACGTGGCATCGGTATGGGCCGTGCTCTCACTCTCAAAGGCTTGCTTTGCTCTCCACAGACTGTGTTTTGACTTGGTCTCTGCCTTGATTGCGTGTACAGGGTGTATCTAGCGATATCATGTACGCTGCTATCGAGCAGTTGCGTGCGGGCGAAACCAGTGTAAACTACATTCTGGCCCTTCGCGACGATGCCGTTCGAATCATGGAAAGTGCCGTGGCCCTGGACATGGTGGGAAATGGCTGGACCTGGCTCGGTTAGCTCCACCACATTGCCCGCGGCCCCAATATCCCACACGTGGTAAAATCATCGCTCACAATTTCCCAACATGTGAAACAGTCCCCGATGGCGTAACCATGCAGGCTTCCACTTTGGACTTTCAGCTTCGTCTTGCCTTTCAAGGCGCGTTGGGCTTGGCACCTCTGACGTCAGATGGTCCCTTGTTCCAGTCCTTTCGATCATTTCCCGACAGGTAGGTCTCTTCTCGCTACCCTCACACCTGCCTTTGCTTCCTTCCATCTCGCAATTCCTACATCCTCACAATCTCGTGTTCATCCCGTTCATGATTCAATCATCATGTTTCGCCTGTTCTGTCTGCGCAGGGCTGGCTTTTATCAATACATAGCTGACACCTCCTTTCCAGGTCACGCTTCGCGGATGTTCGACGCAGTTCTTGCTGCACACTATGCAGTCAAGACGGCCCCAAATTGGGACACGCTCAATTCCACCAGCAAGCGCGCGTAAGAAGCGAAGCCCCCATTCCAAATCGCATTGCTGCCTCCCCTGTCATCTCGTAGTCTTCTCGCTCTGACGGGCATGTTTGACCATCTTGCAGCGTCATCCTCGCCGCCCTCAATGAGCTCAACAATGAGGCCAATGGCCTGGACGGCGCGTCTCGCGACCGAGTTTACTTTGATGAAAGCCACGCTGGCTCTCCTGTCTACAGCGTAGTCAATCTGCTGGACGGCACCTTCAAAACGATTGGCACTGCCGACAATGGTGTCATGAATTTTACCAACGTTTGTGTTCCATCTGCCTGCTCAAAATATCTCGCTGTACGCTGCTTTGGGTTCTCACGACGATCAACTCACCTAGCTATACTGTTTGCCATGGTGTGCCTCCACAGGAGATCCAATGGCCCTCAGGGTTGATTGGCCAGGTCAACTGCCCCTCAGCAAACATCCTAAGTACGCCCTTTTTGCACACCTATTAACGCTGGCTCTTATCAAACCGGTCGGATCACTCGCTTCGAAGCTCACGCAATGGCATGTCTATAGCCACCCCCTCGCCGACAACACCCGTGCAAGCAACCGTACCCAGTGCCAACTCTAGCAGCCTCAGTGACGGGGTAAACCCTTGCTCGGTGGTCACGCTCACATTCCGGAGACGAGACGCTCATCTGAACGTTCTGGCTGCGGCATGTGTCATAGCTGTTGGCCGTGGTCATCTTGTTGGCTCTGGTTGCAGGCACACTCTTGGTGGTCTTGCTGTTTTACTACATCCGGTGTGTGCATATGTGACCTTGGAACGCCCCAGCGATGTTTGTGTTCTTCTTCTCACATTCGGCTATCTTCTTACTTGCACTTTGATGGTGTCGCGAAAATTCGGCAGATCTCGCAACTCCAAGCCTTACGACTTTCAGACGGAACTGACGCGGTTTGCTCGACTAGGCGATATAAGTAACATGGAGCTGGTCAAGGTGGGTCTGGATGCCGCCGTCCGTTGGTTAGAGGGTCTGGCCGAGTCATCTTCTCATTTCTATTCGGATCGCTGACATAGCCGCGAGAATTACCTCGTCGTGCCGTCGTTTGTGGTGAAGAGCTTGGAGCCGGCTACACAGCCAGTGTCTTCATGTGAGCTTTTTATTTACTACGCAACACATGTGGTGCAGAAAAAGCACTCTGGCATGCTGGCAACTCCGTGCGCCCAACATCATGTGCAGTTTTGACTTTGGACCCGGCAACTTGTCAATGTAGGGGCACATTTACTGATCCGGACACGCGGCAGAAGGAAGAAGTCGCAGTGAAGGTGATTCGCCTCGCCTTGAAGCTGGAATCTCGAGAAAACTGCCTTTGGCAAAAGCGCTCGAGCTTCCCTTTCACGGTCTTGTTTTCTTCTCATTTCCTCCCATCCGCTAGTATCTAAAAACACAAGAGGACATTTTTGGCCGAGAGCTGCTATACCAGGTTGGTATCACTTGATTGATCGGGTGGTGCCAAAACCAGGTCTCAGCCTTGTGCCCAAGATTCAGTGCGCTAACCATATGTTACTTGCACGGCGCGCACTCCATGCAGGAAGCGGCATTCATGGCCCAGCTCGATCATCCCCATGTTCGTCAAGCTTGGCATGCCAAGGCCGGCTTTTCATGATTTATCCTCTGTTTGAAACCTTCTTTTCTCCCTTCACTCACGTCATTTTATTGACATTTTGTCCATCGAAAATAGCTGCTCAAGCTAATTGGCATCGTCTCACTGGGACAGCCTTTGATGCTGGTGACCAAGTATTATGCAAATGGCAGCCTTGATGCCTTCTTGCGACGCCATCATGACACGACGGGCCTCAAGTTTTCGCTGGCGAGCAAATTGCATTTGGTGAGTTGATGCGTCAAGGATCAAGTGTCGGCGATCTTATCAGACCCTGCTCTCATGCTGTATCACACTGCAAACATGCCGTGCCTCCCGCAGGCCAATGACGTGGCTGATGCCATGGTCTACCTCAGTTCGCGCAAACTTATTCATTGCGACATTGCTTGCCGCAACGTATGTATGGCTGGCCAAGTTTTTGAGATTCCCTTGAAGAACTGGGCGGCCAGTTTCTCCGTCTGTCTCGCTGTTGGTCTTCTGATATTCTGCCGATTCAGCTTGGCTCACGTCTAGTCCCCCGGTTTTCATATTGTTGCAGGTGTTGGTGAGCGCATCGGGCGACTGTGCCCTGGCCGATTTTGGACTGAGTCGCAACAGCAATTACTGTGCGTTGTTGCTCTCTGCGTCGCCGCGAATGGTACTTTTGTGGAACCGGGCCGGTTTTGATATGCGTTTCTTTTGGATATTTACCCCCTGAACAGACTCTGCCGTGGACCGGCCCGTGCCTGTCAAGTGGACAGCACCAGAGGCTTTGATTGATGGCAAATTCACCATTGCCAGTGATGTCTGGTCCTTTGGCATCCTGCTTGTCGAGCTGGTTTGTGTGTGCAGACCCCCTGCCTCTCCTCGCGCCTTGCTTTCTTCTTGTGTCTTCGACTCCCTCACCAATTAGCACTATGGGCTCAATCTGGGCATCAGATGGCAAACGGGAACACCCCTTATCCTGGCATGAGTAACGAATCTGTTCGTGTGGCCATTTGCGCCGGTGGCTACAAGTACGTAACCAATCTCAGCGCGGGGTAGAGTGGTGGCGTTTGAGGCTATACCGGACAACTCGTGTTGCTCAGCCGGTGTGATTGGTACTTGAGAAAAAAGAATGATGCGTGCTGAACCACTCGTGTTTTGATGCTTGCGTAGGCATCCGCGCTTGCCCGAGGTTCCCTTGGAGGTTTATCAGCTGATGCTCGATTGTTGGGCCTACTCGCCCGAGGATCGGCCCGATTTTCCCACCATCCGCGCTGAGCTCACACGCTTGGAGCAGGTAGGCACCGACGCGTCGCATAGCTTGTTGTGACTGAGACATGCCCTCATTCAAATGACTCCTACCCATGCGTCTCACAGCTCTTCGAGGGTGGTGACATCGCCGTGCGTTCAGCCGAGTAAGTGCGACAGCCTTGCCTTTTCATGGCAATTGTATTGCTCTTCGTTGACTGATGCCCGATCCCCTCTACTTCTGTTGTTTGCAGGACCTCTCCCAACGTGTCCAGTGAGCGTTTGGCGGCTGAAATGGTGAGGCGAGCCTCACACCTTTTGCGCTGGTGCCCAGGCATTTTCTGTAGCATCGTTTATGCTCACCTTTTATTTGATATGCACACACGCCCTTGCGATTCGTTTCAACGTGCACGTGATTACACGCGGCGCTGATTTTTTAGCGTCGTAGCCATAGCCCCATGGTGCGCGGTCGCAGCACAGCTGCTAGTGAAGGTGCCGAGCGAAGTGGCCATTGGGACAGCAAGCGCCGGTCAGAACACTCTCGGTAAGCTCGCGACCATTTGGTTAGCATGCCTTTTTTTTTTTTCGTTTCTCTGCCTTACTGCTTGCCTCTTCATTTTTTCTCACTATTTTTTCCACCGATGCAGGGGACACCGATTCAGCGCGCACGTCATGACGATTGACCGCAGCTCTTCGAGCCAACGCATTGTATTGCCGAGCCCGTCGCGTTCACAATTCTCCGGCTCGATGAAAGGCAGCAGTACACCGCCCGGGTCGCCTCGTTCGCCTCGTTCTCATTCGGACACTATTCAAGCATCACACCCATTGCGGAGCCAAACGCCGCTGCGGACGGCCGTATCGAGTGGCGCAGTGCCCATGAACTCGTCCGTATCGGGGATTAGCGATCTTTCGGGCCCAGATGGGCATTTTATGTCTCACACCGTCTCGAACGTACACAATCATGTGCGGGCCTCGCCACTCCTGGCCCCGACGCGACAGCAGGTGGATGAAGTTTCCTTGATGCCCACTCGGCAGGCTCCAGTGGTGGATAAAGTGACAGAGGAAGAGTCAAGCAGTCCTTCGTTAACAAACTCCACGACCCGTGCGCTGACACCTACTACCGAGCATTCTCCTGTTGTGGAGCGTGCTTTTCAGCAGCGGGCATCAGTGCTCTCGCGCCGCGCCAGCCTGCAAACGCCTCGCAACTCGGTGTCGGAGAGCGGCGACTGCTCGGAGCAAGGCTCGCCAGTACCCACGCGAGTCGGAATCACGCCCTTGACGGACGGCTGTGGCCTTGCCAACGGCCTGGACACTTTTGAAGATCCCTTTCATTCCACGCCCTCATCACCTCATGACGCCTCTGTCTTGGAACCGAGTCCGCGTCCCCGGCGCACGACCAAACCCAGCGGTCTTGGTATCCAGGTGTCACGCGCCCCAGCGGGCACGCCGACTCCTTCTGGCCCGCCCACGCCCGGCACGGCATACACTGCGCTGGAATCGCCCGCCTCGCCGCGCACCTTCAACTCGACATTTCTCTGAGGCAGGATTATGAGCTTGCCATCAGAGCCGACGTTTCTTTCCGTGAAAGATATCGACCGATGAGATATGAATGCGAATATCAACAATCGATTGGGTTTTGTACTGATGGAAAATGGGATTCCCGGGCGAAATCACCTGTGTTTTTTAAACGATCGACCAGCTCCCATCCATGGCAGTGAGTCTTGACCGTTGTATCTGCAGCACTTGTTTTCACGTTGCATGCTTTCTTTTTTTCTATCTTCTTCTTCATGATCACGACACCACCCCGCATCCCTTCACCGCTGGCCCTGTCTGTGAACGGCGAAGAATTTTCGTTGTTTTCATGTAATTGGACCCTAACTCTTGTGGTTGCCCACGTGCTACGATGCGCCACGCAAAACGCGGTCAGATGCCGCAAAGGCGATGTACCAGCATCCAATTCGTCATGTGGGAAAGGGGTTTCCGTCCCAGGGCTCTAGCTTCTTCGACAATCCAGCACTGCAGCGCACATGGCTTACAAGGTTACTTCCCACACGCGTACCAGTCCATCATCAGCGCATGTGGCCAGCAAGCGATGTTGTAAGTCGGGTTGATTGGGTGCCCAGGCCAAGCCATTCAGATCCTACAGCAGCCAAAGCGGAAAGTCAATACAGGCGAACAGCAGGTCTCCACACACCTAGCAATGTCAAGTACAAGTAGAGCATCATAAACGGGAAAAAGTACGCGAGGGACGGGCTGGGATCTGACCTGATCGTGTGCCTGGAACTGGCCGATGAGCTCATAACTCGGGGTATTGGTATCGGGTTGGACGGCGGTCTATGGACAGGTCAAAGAAAGCGGGTGAAAATTTGTGGGCGGGGCGCGAGGTCAGCGACAGCTCGTACCTCACGGAACAGGCGGACAATGTTGTCTCCGCCTGCAGTGGCGAGAATGTTTGTTTCGGGATCCCAATCGACGCTGTAGATGGGCCGGGTGTGTTGACCTGTGGATTGGGGCATGGCGTGATCAGGTGAGGCGAGTCCGAGTGATGTATCTTGTGGATCTGAGGAGGCAATCGTCGAGGACGGGGTCACACCAGTGATGGTGGCAATGCACTTCCACTTGTCGTCACTGGCAGACGGCGTGACAATGCCTGCAAAGTCAGAACACACGAGTCGGTTGATCGCTGAGTGGAGGGTGTTGCGTAGGCATGGTGCATAGATTGAACTGTGAGCAGGCAAGGCGGCACCTTGGGGATTGCCGGGTGGAAAGGCCTGATATACGCGCAGCGTCCGATCATCACCGACGGCAGCTGGGTGTATGAAAGAGAGAGGGAAGACAAGGATGAATGGGTTCATGCGGGGCCTTTGAGTGACGGGTAAAGCGATGGAACCGGAGTAAAGAATAAAAATGAATGAATGAGCGAAAAAAACCAACCAAGGCGAGACCCATCGGCGTTGAAGCAAATTTTCCAGACTGTTGACTGGTTGTCACTCAATGTATCACAGCAAATCCTGTGCAGCAGGGACGGATCAGCTCACAACAGAAAACGGCCTCGGTTATGTGTAGGTGCAAGTGTGTGTGATGTTGGTGGTGGCCGTGTTGCCTGAGCAGGGTGGTGGCGTTGCACGCACCAGTCGGCATTGTCGGGATCGGCGCGATAAAAGCGAATGGTGTTATCATAGCTGCACGAGGCCAAAAGCTGCGGGGGCGGGCCAGTCGAAGAGGAGCCCCGATGAGCGGACAGTAGAAAGATGAGGGAGTGGCGAAAGCAATGGAGTTCTCACGTCGCGGGTGGGGTGCCAGGCTACGGCCTTGACGTCCTGCGAGTGTTCAGCAAGAATGGCGGCACAATCAAACTCCTCTTCGTCGGCAAACCCTGTGATACAACACGAGTCGAGGGGGGTGAGGAGAGAGCGGGTACATGTGCATGCCAGCAGGTGTCGCCGCCAAAGATTGGCACGGGTCGGTGAAGAGGGGAGACTTGCATTCCCACAGCCAGACGGTTTTGTCACGGCTACAAGTGGCAATGTAGTCACCGCTTGCGCTGAATGCAACGCCCTTGACCTGTAATACAACGCGAGGGTCGGAGGTGGGTTTGCGCGCTGTCAAGAAGGGTACGCGAGCGCATTGTGTGTGCGACGCCTACCTCATTCTCATGACCCTCGAGGGTGGCAAAGCATTCAAAGCCTAGGGTGGGTGGGGCATCAGGCGAGGGTGGGTGAGAAATTTGTATGGAGCAGCGTTTGTGGGTGGCACGGGTGTTTATGTTGACTTGACTCACCAGAAGGCCCCTTTTCCCAGACACAGGTGGTCGAGTCGAAGCTTGCAGCGGCCAGGTAGTTGCCTTCTCGGCCCCATGAGACTTTTGATAAGAACGTCGGGCAAAGCGATGGCAGAAGGGCGCCGAGATTTGACGAGCAAAAGGTACATTGGCGTGTGAGGGCGAGCAGCAAGAATGAAGATCCGAGCCCGAGGAGCTGGAAAGGCGCGTGCTGGACCTACGGCTGCGGATGGTCCCTTTTTGTGGACCTTCGAGGGTGGAGAGACAGACCCAATCACGGGCCTCGCGGGTCCACAACCGAACCGTCTGGTCGCCACTGCTCGAGGCCAGCACGGCGCCTGTGGACAAGGCAGCGGGCCGTCCCGCCCCGAAGCCTGGCGTGAGGCCATCACCACCAGGCAGCCCCAACGAAAAAGGCGGAGACAGGCGGAGAAGGCGGAGAAGACGGAGACAGGCAGGCAGGCCAAGAGACACGAGACACGAGACACGAGCAGAGCAGCGACGCGCGTACCGGTCGGCGACCACTTGACATCCCAAACTCGATCCTCATGACCTGTGAACAGCAACAACATAGACACACGTGTCAGTCTCCTTTCCCAACCACCTGCTGCCCAAGCGCTCCCCCACCTCACATAGCATACCACCCCCTCCACCACCGCCGCTGCCGCTGCCGCTTACCCTCCAGACTCGCCACCATCTTGGCCGTCGCCCCCATCTTCTCTGGTGCTCGTGCGTGTGTGTGAGAGAGAGAAAACGTCCAACAGTTTGAGAGAGAAGAGCTTGAGAGAGAAGAAAGAGTTTGAGAGAGTTTTGAGAGAGTGTGAGAGAGTGAGAGAGAGAAGAGAGAGAAGAGTTTGAGAGAGAAGAGTTTGAGAGAGAAGAGTTTGAGAGTTTTGAGAGAGTGTAAGAGAGTGTGAGAGAGAAGAGTTCGAGAGAAGAGTTTGAGAGAGAAAAGTGTGAGAGATCAGAGTTTGAGAGAGAAGAGTTTGAGAGAGAGAAGAGTTTGAGAGAGTTTGAGAGAGAGCATCGGCCATATTATGCGGATCCTACGTATGGGAGAGCATGGGGGTAGAGTCGGGGGGTGACGGCAGCAACTTTGCCTTGTCGAGGGGGTCAAGAGGCTCCATTTCTTTCCACTCACTGACGGTTCAGCGGTGCTTGTTCGTATAAGGGGCTACACGATTTTATTGGCTTGCTGTTGGGCTGCCAGGGCAAGCGACCACGGGTATTCGGGCTTGTCCTAGGACGACGCAAATCAGTGGAGCACCCACCGGGCACAGACACACCACGGTCAATTCACTTGAATGCACAAGAGGTGCCAAGCGACAGATTGCCGACGATGAGCGAGATGTGTCAACAATACCTGCGGCGCCTCGTAGTATTCCTGAAAGGCCAAGTAGAGCGTGCCATTTTCGGTCCTGAAAGCGCCGGGCCCGGGCAAGGTCTGCATCGAGGCCATAAGCAAGCATGAGCAGGCCATGCTTTCAGCCCCCAACGGTCGAGGCTGTGCGCACACTCGGAACTCTTTGAAATCAAGTCATTGAGATGTCCCACCTCGGGGTCCAGACCATCCCCTTGGTCAGGTGTGGGCAGCTGCAGACAACGAGTAGCCTGCTCCAACTGTTCCTGTCGCCGTGACATCCGTGGGCTACTGGGGCTAGATTGCATCTTGGGCACTTCCAAGCTCCCAAAGCTGCCTCCATCCCTGTCGCCCAGACGCAAACCGCGCAAGCATTGAGGTTAAAGCTCCCCCCTATAAAAAAAAAAAAAAAACCAGGCGCCTCGTTCAAACGCGCGCCAGCTCATACATGATCATGACACGCTCGAGTGAAGAACGCGACGGCCGGAGTCCTGCGCCTGCACCATCAAACCGGCCCTCCCTACAAACCGCCACAAAGGGTTTCATGTTGACACAGGCCGGCGCGGTGTCCACCCCAGCCATGCATGGACTTGGTGCAAGTCGAAACCTACGCGCCACCAGCTCTGTCGGTGGGCTCTGGTGTGAGACTGAGCTGCTCCATGGGCACCAATTCGCTACGAGAATGATTGGGGCTCTTTAAGCAAGCCACCCGGAAGGATTGTGCACATTGTGACCATCACAAACAAGTGGGTGTCGGGTGAGGCGGGCATGCGCGAGCGAGCCAGGGTGCATTTTGAACGATAAACGCGCTCACACGTAGTTCTCCGTGCTCAAAGCTTGCACTTCGATTCAATTCGAGAGATCCCAAGGTTTGAGACCGCTTGCGCGAGTTTGCCTTGCGTATGCATACAGGGCACGAAAGAACGTGTGAGTTGGGGGGGGGGGGGGGAA